CCAAGTCTTTCATTTATGTCTGAGAAAAGCTTTTATGTTTAAATATGTGTATCAGTCATACTAAAATAAATAGTCATTATTTTGAGTCCTGATTTTTTTCATGTGTGAATAAAATGTTTTGCTTGGTTCTGTTGCATCTTACTTTGCATTTCATGTGAAAAATGTGTATTAGGTAAGCGTGAATGTTATAACTCATTCATAAATGGACATGTGTATTAAACTTAAAAACAACGCACCCTTTCAGTAGTTATAAATGTTAGTGACTCATCAATAGATGGTGATGTGTTTCACACTTTACAATAAGGCTCCCTTTTACCAATTATAAATGTTAGTAACTCATTCATAAATGGTCATAAGAGATGCCAAGAAACATCAAGATGGAAGGGGGGAGAATCAACTCAGTGAGCAACAGATACCAAGGATGCTGGCTGATGAAGAAGACGAAGTAAGCTAAGTAGCCAATATAAGGCCTAGCAGCACAGATAAATGTGGGCTCACTATTTGGCAAGCAACCGGTCACAGTTTCCCTGTTTATCTCATGTCTTATAAAAGCTTATTAATGATTTGAAAAGTGTTCACAACCTAATTAATAAATGAATTACAAACTATTCATAAACCCTTTATAAGGGTAGTCTTATTGTAAAGTGGTACCGATTAAGGTGTACTTGTTCATTAAAGAGGTACCTATAACACATATATTTATTAAAATACTGTTCTTCAATACAAATTGGAGGTTATTGTTATACATTTGAGTATTTTCATTTTATACTAAAAGTGTACCTCGCTACTTTTCAGAGAAAAAAACATTGTACCTTTTTCTTCGCTACATCTGTTTGACTTAGCTTAGTTAGTTACGATGCAGGTTCACATTTTAAAAACAAAACATAGGATCAACAAATAAAATAGTAGGCATTTTAATAGATTTAACCACCCAACAAGAAATAAGAATAAGCCATACATTGAACTGTAACAACCTTAAGGCTGCACATTAATCTATCAATGATCTATTGAATGACAACATAAATAACATTCTGAAAGGGATTTTTTTAGAAAAAGTAAGTACTTTTGTGTCATATTTTTAAAAGTAAATTTACCTGAAAATACTTACTTACATGCTCTAACTTAAAAGAGTAATAGAGGACTGTAAGGAGGCAATTTGTATAAACTGTCTATGTTTTTGGACCTTGGACCTCTTTTCTTTTTGGACTTTTATCTTTCCCACTGAAGAGCACCTTCAGTACTTCTAAATCTTCGGGGCCTTCTCTTCTTTAAAGCCTATTTGTACACTTTGGCATTACTAGCTCTTCTTGAATACTTCTTCCATCAGTGGACCATAAGTCTGACAAAAGGCCGTCCCTGCTGGATGCCGGATGGGCTCTGTGCTTCCCACCAGGACCAGAGATCCGGATGCTTCCATGTCTCCGTCACCAGTACACTGAGCAGGATCCGGTTTGTTCTGGGGTCACGTCAGCGTTAGAGAAAGCAGGCAGCAAAAGCTAACCAAGCGCCCGAGCCACTTCCTCTTTGAGATCTGTAAGAGCCATGGGAAACATCAGTGAACTCTGGGGTCCCTTTCAATCCTGAGCAAACACTGCTTTCATTAAATTGGCAGCACTCGAACTGGAAGAAGCCATAATCTGAGGATCGTCTTTCAAGGAGAACATCAAACAGTTTAACCCAAATTAAAATGTCCTTTTGTGTTAAAAAAAATAATATGGCAAAATCACAAGATATAGTCTAGATCTGATAACAACTAAGAACCAGAATCACCAACATTCACTGATACTTTGGATTTTTACAAGCAGCTAATACAAATATCATGTTAGGCAGAGCAAGTCATGGTTTCCGTTGTGAATACATCCTTATATTTAAACTTATCACACTAGTGTTAATAATTTAGGCATCGATATGCCCACTTCAGTTATAAAATCATTAACTCAATTGACTGTATTGGTTTGAAAATGTGTGTATTATGTATTTAATGAAGCTGACTACACTGGGTTGGCCGAAGCCTTAAAGAGGCATATTCATAGTTACAATTACTTTGGTGACGAATATGTTTACTTTGAGGGAAAACAAATTGAAAAAATGAACAGAATTGAAACATCAGGTCTCCCTTGAAAAAGAGATCTACTGTATGATCTCAATGGGACCAATCTGGTTAAATAAAGGAAATGAAATGAAATGAAATCAGTAAAATGATGATGACTCCTAGCATATTTGGTTGTGATAGAAATTCATACTCACCATCAGTAGGTATTTAAAGTGATGAATGTTTCAGTTTGGCCACATGGGGGCAGTGTTGCTTCATCCTGGAAGACCCTCAGAAACACTCTGGGACTTGATAGTCAGATACAACATTATCAATTCAAAGTTTAACATAAAATAAGTTATTTTTTTAAATGTGCAGTAACATACTTTATATATATAAATATGTTTTTTTCAAGATGCAGTTAATAATAATTGATGGGGTGTTGCGACCTTTCCTATTCCAGTAGAAACCATTAATTCAGTACCCAGAAAAAAGAAAAAAGAAATCATGCGTACAAAATCCTTAAAAAAAATCACAAATTGACACTGATTTATTTCAAATTCCAATGGCTTTATTTTATGTATATATATTTGTATATTTTTATATATATTTATATATTATATATATATACTTATGTAACAACTTTTACTCAGTTGCTTGATTATCATCTTTTGTTCAGCTTAAGTTCAAACGACATGACACTAAGACCAAGGCATTCCACATGATCATATCTTACAAAAGAGTAAAGAAAACAGCATGTGTGTGTGTGCACCTGTCGCACACACACACACATGCACACACACACATACATACATACATCAATGTACAGGTATTGTGGTTCTGTTTGTAGCAAGAACTGAGAAATAAAAATCGGATAAAGAGACGAAAGACAGAGTGAGAGTGTGAGGGAGAGAAAGTGAGAAACTGGAGGATTCTGTTGCATAGATTGAAGCAAACAGGAGGAAGATGTGTGATTGAAACAGACAGGATGAGAGTGACAAGCACACACACACACACTGAGGAAACACACCTTCACCGAGCCAACAGCCCACCTCACACACACACACACACACACACACACACACACACACACACACACACACACACACACACACACACACACACACACACACACACACACACATAAAGGGAAGCACAGGATCACTGCTAAGGCTCAGAGTCTGACAGACAGGAAGAAGTCAAGTCCTCTCTTCACCTAAAGATGGAGAGACTACAGTCATGTGACAAAGATTTGCACTCAATGCTAATATGAGACACGTTGTTGTTTAGCAGGCGTCATTTTGCGGTGTGTGATTACATTGAAAGTCAATGCAACAAAGCACATTTTCGCCGGGCAACACCGATAATGCTAAAAGGCCCTATGCTTAATGTGTGCCATGTGGAAAAAAGCAAACAAATCGTCTTTCTCGTACGTTATTCAGCTGAGGCTGATAGGAATTAATGAGTTTTGCAAGTATTTCTTCATAAAATAAGTCAGAGGATCACTAAAGTCATAAAAATACATCCACAGCGATTAAATAAAACTGTGTGGTTGCCACATTTAGCCTGCACGAAGGAAATAATATGACAACTTTTAGACCAAAAACGAATGAACTTTACTAAAACAACATTTAGACCTCCATGTTGATACATATTAGAAGCTAAGTGATTGAACTAAATCTTCTGTTGCATTAGGAACTCCTAGATCCTTGAGTCCTGTCTGTCAGATTTGCCAAACTACAGTCTCCTCACATTCATTTCATCGTGATCACCAACATTCAGTCCTACATAGATGCAAAACTTGAAATGCTGTCAACATGATCGCCATGATTGACAACGTCATGTTTAGCCTAGCTTAGCGCAATGACTGGATGCAGAGGGAAACTGCTAGCCTCTTCAAAAGAGATATTCATGTCTGATTTAAGGTTCAAGTTGTTCATTGTTCCGGTGTGAAAATTCAAACCCAAATATATTTTCTTGTGGTTTGGATCAATACTTAGATAATTTAACTCCCATTTGGTTATTAATAAAGTCAAAAAAGCTAAGCGATACAAATGTTATAATAGCAGTTATTGTCAAACATTCTTTGAATTTAACTTGTAAAATGTGAGGACTTCTCCTTTTCTTACCAAATAGGATAGAGAACTGAATATCTTTGGGTTTTGGACACATTTTATAAAAACAAAGATATTGATAAATAAATAAAAAAGGAATAATAATCAGTAGATATATCAATACTGAGAACAATGCTTGGCTGCAGCCATACGTAAATTCCTCAGTGCGCTCTCCTCAGGGACACAAATCAGTTCTGACATGTCTTAAGACATATTGAGACACACAGTATACTGTTTGATCTGAGATGAATAAAATCAGCTGATATCAGTCGGGCACTAACACAGACATTTTACAGGTGACAACCAACTCCATAATCCTCATGTCCCCCCTAACCTGCAGCAGCAGAGAATCAGGAGGAAGATGGATCCATGGAGATGATTGGATGTGAGATGATGATGATGACGATGATGAAGCCATCCTGAATGTCTCAGGTTAACTGTCATCATCTCCCTCCTCCTCTCACTGCACACAAGAGTGGGAGATGAGTGTGTGTAAACGTATGTGTGTGTGTTTGTATGTTGGGTCAGGAGGATGGACATGGGACATTTTGTTTCTGGATAAATGAAACGATGGAAACAAAAGAAAAGGAGAATTTTTTTCATCTTTCATCAATCCATCCATCAGAAGTCACACAGTTTGAATTTCCTCGGTGTGTTTCACCTCACAGTGCAATAGTGTGTGTGTGTGTGTGTGTGTGTGTGTGTGTGTGTGTGTGTGTGTCTGTGTGTGTGTGTGTGTAATGTTGCATGTGTTTGGGGCGTGTATTTGAGATTCATTTGGTAAAAACAAGTCAACGTTTTGGGATGTTTCATTCCATACTAAAACATGCAGAACACAGAACATTGAACACATATACTGAACAGTTAGTTTTATCCAAATGCAGTTTCTCTTTTTTTTTCATCTCTTTTCACACAGAGTGGCTTTAGGCTACACAGAACACGACAGAACCAATCGCACCAGGTTGGACATATTGCTTTAAACCACCAAATTTTGTATATATGTCATGCATGCCACATAGATGATATTATGTTTATACAAAAATAACACCAACGCCTATTACTGTGTATCATAGTAATTACAGAAAACAAATATTTTTCTTGCAATGAAGTTCAACTGAGAAACCATATACATATCTATGTATTTATATCTAATATACACACGTATATACTAGATATAGACACATAAAGATAATATGTAAATATATAGATATATATGTTGAGTGGTTATGACTTTTCCAACTGTGGTATTCCAGTTCGTTTGATTCATTTTTATATATTTTGTTAACGTTGAAGTGGAGTTTCTCCAAAATATTCCTTAAGATCTGACCACAGGAAGCTGTTCTGAGAAAAGGCAGTGCTCTGAAGAGGAAGCAGTCAAAATGCAACAATGACTGGATAAGAAGCGAGTTCCTTTTCCATTCAGAAGTCCTGTTGGTAAACTGCGATCTTCTCCACTGTACGGTGCACCTGCCGTGAGATGTGAGGGCAACCAGTCCAACAGAACCACAGCCAGAGCAGAGGGACAGTCTTATCCAGGCGGCATGGGGGGGGAGGGGGGAGGAAAGAAAGAGGGGGAGTCAAACTAATTTGTGCAGAAGACAAAAGGAAAGGAGAAAAACAGCTTTGGCATCCTTAAAGCTTCGCTGGATGACGATTGGCTGATTGCCCTCTTTCCCACTTCCTGTGACCGACACAGACAGCAGGTTCATTCACTTTTTATATGACAATATTTACATTGCACTGACTGCAGGAGCAAAGGTAATCTTTCCGATTCAGCAGTTGAACAGAAACAAAGAGGAAAATAAATAAATCATCATTTGGAAAGGTGCGTCTCGCTTCTAGCCAACGGACACACGGCAGGAAGAGGACGAGCTCTTTAACAGTCCTGCGCTCTTCCCCGGAAATGTTTCTGAAGTTGGTAGTTCGTATAAAATGGCAATGACATCTACAGTTACAGCTGTGTCCCTCACAGGCTCCGCCTCCCTCAAAGTCCATATTTCACAACCAAATCAGAAATGTGCCGTCTTCTTGTTGTCAGAAAGAGCCCCCTGACCCCTCAGTATCATGTATTTAAAAAGCAACAGTTAACAATTGATCATGATCAAATCAGAGATAAAACAATATCAAATGAAAAAAAACTGTTCTCGTTGTTGAAAGTGCAAAAGCACTGAAATGTCAACAGACATCCCATACTTTTCTCAAAGGTATTACTGCAGCTAGTCATAGATATTTATCGTAATCAGCGTAATAAAGTTACGACATATAAATGAAGTGTCTGTTTGATGGGCCACTTTGTGGAGGTCCTTATGGGTACCATCAGGTTTTAGCATGGGTCCTGACCCAAGAGCCGAGCTGGGTCCAAAGTATATTCAGTCTAATTGGGAGACGTTGCAATGCCCTATGACTCATCATGTTTTAGAGGAAATCCAATCTTCCTGCTTCTAACTGTCCTTGAGTCAACTTTGAATCAGAGTCCATAGACCCACAAAGGGAGGCTGCCTATTCACTGCATGGTACGGTTCTACTCAACTCGACTCAATTTGTACTTTTTGGTTTTCCATTAGCAAAAGTAATGGATATCACTCAAGAAATTGCAACCCAGAAAATAGGCTGTAAGATTGACAAAGGGCAGACGTTTCCTCCGCTTGTTTGCTGATTTCATGATTTAAAGAAGAGGTGATGATTTCACGGCAGTTTTGATGCGGGTTAAGTTTTCAGCTAATAATTGATATTGGGTAATATCTGCTGAGGTAAATGGAGAAAAGGAGCTGGCACCTAAAGTGAGTTGAGCCAAACCATGCAGTGGTAATATGGCAAAAGATCGTCTTAACCTCAAGATGCTTTTTGATATTGGCCTATTTTTCTTGAATTACAAGCTGATGATGAATGCATGTTGGTTTTGGTTTTTTTCCCCTTGGGTCCGCTTTGATGAATTCTAAGCTGTGGGGCTCAAAGCAACTCATTGATTTGTTTTATGACTGGTCTTTGGTCCTCAGGTCACTTTCTCAAGTTTTGGTTCGTCAGAGAGGTCGAGGGTCGGAGCTCAGTTCGGACGAGGCAGGCCATAATAGGCCACACCCCCTTTAAAGGAGGCGGAGCCTGAAGTGGGACACAGCTGTGATCCTCCTTAAAGCTCCGACAACAGTCGGTTGGAAAACAGCATCAGTCCACTCATTCAAAGAAATCAATCGCAGTAGCTTCAAAATACAGAAACAAAGAAACCCAGAGGTTGGATCAATAATGGTACACTCCCATTTAATGTTTGATACAGTTAGCTGTATTCACGTTGCATTGGCTGAACTCTAATGGAGCTGAATAACTGCGTAATCACATAGCGTGTAGTGTTTCACAACATTTTAGATAAAGTGAATATACTCATGTAAAAGGGGGCTGATGAGACTAGATTTTTGAGTTTCCAATTGAGCGCCCAACAGGAAGTAAACAAGTCACTGCAGGTTTCTGAGCCCTAACATCAGGTGACCAAGACGACACACGTGGCATAAATATTTAGAGAGCTGTAAAAAGACAGAGTCCACGTTAGATTCCTCTCATTCATGTACTGTACCGTCACCAAACTCTTCAGCCTATACATATATATTCATATATCTCCAAAATATTAAAAAGTACTTAATATAAAAATACAGAAGAATTGTAAAAAATGAGCAAAACATTGAATTTTATATGGAAACCATGCAAGAAAGATTCCCCATTTAGTTAAATAGTAACTCTAAGATTCAGGAAAGCAAGGGAATGAAAGGGAAGTGGTCGGATGAGAGAAGCGCAGGCGAACTGCCACCCACTTGCTTTTCATGTAAACATTGTAGAGGTCCTTTAAAACTTGGTACGGCAGTGACGACTGAAGATTTTCTCCTTGCTTTTTGGTCGTGTTTGGAGTAAAGGGCCAGGAGGGGGAGGGGAAGTCGAGGGGTGAGAAAGTCCAAAGGAAACCTCGATAACAATGAGATAAAAAAACAATACAGACAACCTATAAAATATGGCTCTGAGTGACATAGAAAAGCTCAACAGAGGGGGGAGGAAGAACCTAGTCATGAAAAGTTGGAAATATGGCAGTAGTAGCACATAGGTTGAAGGCTGCTAGTCAGACTAAGAGGGGATTACACACTCGCTGCTTCTGATTGGAAGATGATTCCTTCTTCTTTTAAAACAGTAATCTGCGGACAACGGCAGGCAGGAAGTACTAAGCGGCAGCGTGGACACAAAGTCGATTGAACTCATAAAGACTGATTGGTGACATCGTCAGTCTCCCATAATCCTCAGCGTGGCCACCACACTGACGCCTGTCAATTAAAACAGAGCACGGCAGACAGAGATGATCAATCATCTGCTCTGCTGACGCTGTGTGATGTCACTGAGTGACAACCCATTTAGTTTCTGTCCGTAAAGTCTGACAAACGAGGGAACGAAAAACAAGAACTAGTACTAAGATTTGTCTTAAACACAGAGAGACGGTCCAGACGCGGTTCAGAGATCCATCAACTTCCTGTCTGTTAGAATTCAACTTCCTGTATTTTGACCTAAAACAGACTCAATCAATACTTTTGACATTATCCTCTGGGGGGCGAATTAATAAAGAAAGGATATTGACAGTTGATGAGCATTCTTTTTATGGACAATTGAGTATTTGCCCCTAAAAACGGATCTATTAGTAGATCGGTGTTTACACCCTTATCCATGATTATGAGTTCCTGTTGAGGTGGTTGAGGTTTACAGGAATCCTCCCTGTAGGCGTATACTGGACAACTGGGGAGGAAGCCCCCGGGTCAGACCCAGAAAACACTCTGCAGGGATTATGCATCCAATCTGGTCTGGGAACCGATCCACCAGGAAAAGAGATACCTCAAGGAATGAGTCTTGAAGGACTTTTATTTTGAAGAGACAAAGGCATGATTACTTGTCATCCACTTGTCTTTTTTTTCCTTTATTGACTGCCCTGCTCCAGTATTGAAGAGCCTCTCTTTGTATTTTGTCTTGACAGGAAATCCAGTCCTAAAGACAGGAAGTCGAAGGAGTCGTGATCAGACGCTGCTGCAGACTCAACACACATATGGTCGTCTTAACAGAATCCCAAATATTCATTCCTAAAGTTATCATGCGACTCAACACAGATGAAACATAACATGCATCCTACTGGAGCGGGAAACATGAACCACACTCCTGTTTCCTATGGACACTGTGGATGTACTGGGCGGGGGGGCAGAGAGAGCCGGGACCCTGACTGCATGAGATGAGGACGAGACCTCCCTGGACGCCGCCATGTTGGATATACTTGGGGAGTAAACATTCTGTCCTTCCACATGCAACACAGCTGATCAAAGAAAAGCCAACACATACAGACACGATAAAGGGAAGAACATTTTTTTAACAGTTGAACCTTGAAGACCGTAGTGTCACACTCACAAGACATTCTCAGGCGTTTTTGTATCAACCATCGATTAACATTAGTTTTCAAAACAAACAAAACAAAGATTAAAAAAGGTTAAATTTTTGCATTTGCCTAAAAACAATTCTGATCACCAAACCCGGCTGTTAGCTGTGAAGAGGAGCGGGGGGGGGGGCGTATGTACATGAGAATCACTCGTTCAAGAGTTCTGTGCCGAGAGCGTTACGCAGGGATGGAGCGAGGACAGAACATGCTGCGAGACCCCCGGAGATCCAACCACACGTGGTTTAAAAGCTTTGTCAAAAAAGGATCATCAGGTAAAAAATATACATGAATGGACTTCCAGGGTGGAGACTCCACCTTCTACTGAGACATGTGTGAGGAGGAGGAGGGGGGGGGGGACAAACTTACAGGCAGAACGACACCACAGTCAGTATGGAAAACACAACGTGGCAGGAATGACTGAGGGGGCGGCGGGGGGGCGATGTGAAGTGTGTGTGAGTGCAGGATGAGATGTGACTCCCCTGCTCAGCGACAGTTCGGTTGGTGGGATGACGAATGATAAGAGGAGGGGGGGGGGGGGGTGGTGGGAGGAGGGGCTCAGATGGATGACTCGCAGCTGTGGGGGAAGGCGCTGGGCGGCTCTCCTCCCCCCCCCGCCCCAGAAGAGGAGGCGCTGGGGAGGGGGTCGATCTCGTCTCCGGTCTCCTCGATGGTGGGGATGCGAGCCTCCTCCTCCGACTGCGGGACGAACTCAGGATGGGCCATGAAGCTGTGGATGGAGCTACGGGACTCTGGGCTCTCCAGCCCCACGTGCAGGGAGCTGCGGAACGCATTCACCACCTTAATCTGGAACAAAGACGGAGAAGAGAAGACGTCAGAGGGCTGAAGATGAATGAAAGTGTGATGCAATGACAGGCAGCGGGGGCTGATGGGAAACATGGTGGTTGAATGGCTGAATCTGGCAGGGAGGTGCAAAAAAACACAATTTCAACACGTGAGAAGTGGATGGGAACAACAATTCTAAAACACATCAACACAAATGCTAAAAAAAAAGGTCAACACGATAATGGAGTGCAGGAAGGAGACCAAAAATCCACCAAATCAGATGCAACACACGCATGCGCACACATAGGGTTTGAACCGCTGACTTTTATATATCTGTAAAATAATATGGTTTCTGACTCCACCAGTTCTGTCTGACTCACAGTTGTCTGGCACTGCTTCATCCAGAGGTGTGAGATTGAGTTCTCTCACACTGAACTGGAAAAAACTTTGATTTAACGAGCTGGCTCTGAGCACGGAGCATTGTCATGTTAAAACAGGAACCAGTCTGAAAAACCTTAACCCCCCACCCGCCATATTTGATATGATTTCATTTATAAAATAGTGATCAAACCTGACCACAGTGAGGAGAGCCAAATAGTTTTATAAACAGACGTTTTTGTACATTTCATAGTAAATGTGATATGATTTTAGGGTATACGTGTGCAATTCACTCACTTTTGACGACCTCAAATCAGATACACTTTGTGATACTAGGCGCTGGGGGGGGGGCTTTATTTGGGGTCCTAGGCCTATTGGATTTTAAATAGTGTAACACTCAGCAGCCTAACTCAGGATGTCATATTACGAAAACTATTAAGTGTTATTTTTTGTATACAAAGTTGTTGAAACAGGTATTACTAGCATTTGTTTGTGTTTTCTAAACATGTAATTGTTAGCTAGTCCTAGGCCAAACTAAAATGTTAACATAAATGTCAAAAATATATATATATATATTTTTAAATAACATTTAGGTGCAGTACTGTAGTTCCCTTTGCAGCAAAATTAACAATATATACATATATACCACTCTATGGTATAAGTCGTTTTAAGTAGTGGGCTTTATAGGTGCATTATTTTACTGCAAACCAAGCAAGGCTAGCTTTCCCCCTCACTTTCTTTATGCTAAGCTAACCATTTCCAGACAGATGTGAAAGGAATAAATCACTTGTAGAAAGTGCTTTTCCTCATGATATCTTGTTCAGTGTGCTATTTCAGTGCAACATCACTAACATATTTGCATTCAATCACATTTGAATGCATAAATAAATATAGATAGAACATTAAATAACAGTTGATATGCAAGAATAGTGTTACTCTTGTGTCCTCTGGGGGTCTGAGGCCGCTTTCCCAACTATCAATTCAGCCTTTAACACTTTCAAACAATACCCTGCCCCAGTAATCAACCCACAATGCAACAACACATGCACTGTTTAGTATTTGTAATCACATTCAGAGGCAGAATGATTTTGTCCTCTAGCTGCTCTCTCCTCTCTGCCTTAAGTCGTTTCCTCTGTCATGAATCCACAGAGGCTGCAGCTGATCACACTGATTCATACGCACCAGCACACACTCTTCATCATAATTAATAACCCTGCAGTTCAAAGCTCTCTATTACTGAACCGCATGAGAGCTACAGGCCGAGCGCTGCAGCTCAGAGAACACATGCAACCATCACACACAAGCGTACATGTTCAAAAGCTCTCGGCTGTTAACCCATGAGAGACTTGCTGAGCCTGACAGATTGAACCCTGCTCTGGATTAACCCATACAATTATCTCGTGCCCAGGATGTCGCCTCAGAGAGGAAGAAGAAAAACAAAGGAAATAAAGCTGGATTTTCTTTTTCTCTCAGTCACGAATCAGAGCAGTTCACAGCTTAATTCTCCTCTTGTGGGCAAACAGTTGTGATCTGTCATCGACTTGTCAGCCAGCAAGTCACGTCAGGGTTACTACAGACGCGTGTTCAAGAGTTTCAATCCCCACAACATGCAGGAGGAGGAGCGGCAGCAGGCGCAGAGGAAAGTGATAAAAGGCATTTAAAGAACAGAGGAAAAGGAGATTAAGATGGAGAGAAAGAATCTACAGCAGAGGAAGGTCAAGTAGGGAGGAAGTGGATTTCAGAGATGGAAACAGATCAGCTGATCAGGTTGTCTGCACTTTGAGATAATAAAGAGAGCTTTCAGAGGAATGACGCTGGCCATATTCTACTTTTGTCTTATATTTAAAACATCACATGGAAAGACCAGGACTCTTTGACATTCCTTGATTTCACATTTCTGGTTTTGTGTAGGTAAACAATACAAGTGAGCTTTAGAGGTGTATTATTTTACTTCAAACAAAGCCAGGCTAGCTGTTCCCCTGCTTTCGGTCTTTATGCTAAGCTAAGCTAACCACGTCCAGACTCCAGCTTAATGCACAGATGTGATATTAATAAACATCTTCCAAAATCACTTTCAGAAAGTGTTTTTCTCAGAATGTGGAAGTACTACTACTTAAATGCCTTGCTATGTTTATCCTCAGTAGCTTTGTATCTTCAAACTGAATCTCTTGGGGTCTTAATACTGTACATATTAGATTTCCTACAGATGTTTGAGATGTTTTCATTACGACAAAAGCAAACTGAGCACTTCCTGCTTCACATTAAAGCTTTCCACTGGAAAACCTTTCATTTGTAACATACCATACCTCCCTTCAAGTGTTCACATCTGTCTGGATATGATAAAAGAGTTACTACCAAGTGTCCTTTGACCTGTGAGTGACCAAATTCAAATCCTTTTAAGGAGACACTCTTAAGGCGAAACAATGGAAAAACTAATACTGAGTCAATGCTAGCTTTACTGTTAACCCTTACCCAAACCAATGTAGTATTTGTAATAACGTCATGTAAATTACAACTGTCAGTTATCTATATTATCATTAGGATGTTTCAGATCATTTAGGATAATATCGAAGGATGTGCAGATATTACAGAGACAGAGTTGTAGTGTTGGTGAGTCATGCAGCGTTCATGCGGTAAACACAGAGAGTAAAGGAAGAGTCCAGCTGGGTGAAGGAGGTGTTAGCTGGCCTCTGACACCCACTCACTGCCTGCAGTGGAGGAGGAAGCAGCGGCAGCAGGAGGCACAGCCCCGGCCGAGTTGGTGAGAGAGGAGGAGGCGCTAAGCCCTACGTGGGTGGGGCTAGAGAGAGTTTTGGCAGCGGTGGAGTCATTGTGCTGGCTGACCACGGAGGGCTGGCGGCGCAGGGCACCGGGCACCGGGGCCTGGCCCGTCTGGAAGGTATACACCACATCCATCTGAAGGGAGCCACAACACACCGTTAGAGAGCCAGGAGACAGGGGGGAGGAGGCAGGGGGGAGGAGACAGAGCAAGGAAACAAGGAAGAAAAGACAGGAAAGCCCTTTGAGAGGTTACAGATTAAGAGACAGTTTGAAGGTTTTCCATTTGAGAGTTAGGACAGGAGTCATGTTTCATGCTACAGTGCAGTACAGTTCAAAGACCTTTACATGCACGCAAATATTTCAATATTATTACGAAAATGACAATATACTGAGTTTGAGACGGCTTATGTGGACAGAATTCTACGTTTGAGTGTTCAGAGTTAGACTTCAGTTTGATAAAGCATCTTCTCATTCAAATAAGTGGGATATGCTGACATTCAGGCTTTAGGAGCATTCTTTGGGCTTCTGTAACGCGCATTTGAAATATGAGTCTTAATTTGGGTTTTCCGCGCAGTTTGCGTTTGTTTATGACTGAGAAGTGGATACTGCGTTGGAGCGCATTTTACAACTCTTACGCCGTAATGATTCAATAAGGGCTGTAAAAGTGTTCGTACTAGGTGGTTGATTTACCTCAATAAATGACAGACGTATCTTTCCCTATGTGAGCCAATGTCACTGGCTGACGCTGAAATTGTAGTACCAGTGCTTGGCCACTAGGAACATTTGCTTTAACGGCCCTGGGGTCTTGACACAAACAAATAAGAGTTTAAAAAGGAGACTGCGCACTTTGAGGTCATTTCCTGTATCTCTGTCACGTAGGTTTGTCGACGAGCTTAACACTCAAGATTTGCCATCAAAGAGCGTTAATATTAATCAAACTTTGTCAAAATGTAAAGCTAACATCAACCCAACGTTGGATAAAGCCCTAGCTTATATTCCTTATGTATAACAATTAATACGTTGGTTAGCTGTTTAAATATCTTATAATAGAAGATTAACATAGATCAATATACAAAAATATATTAGACCCCAGCCCACTTAGGAGACAGGAAGTGCATCTGATTTCATAATATGGCCTATAAGGGTGCCACAACTGCAGATTGTGTTTTACAGAGCCTAGCCATAGGAACAAAAGTATGCATGGAATATGCAAACAGGTGAGTATTAGAACACATATTTTAATCGCCCATATAAACAGCTTACTAGAACTATTCTTAATAAGGGCATAATGTATATTTTCATATTTTGAGCATGTAAAGGTCATTGTCAACAACTTGGTTCAAAGTGGGTACAGAGAAACAGAAGAAGGTGAGACAAGGACAACATGAAGAAGTAGTAGTACACGAGAAAGAGATCAGGAGTGAGGAGAAGAGGAAGAAAGTTTGAAAATCTAAAAAAAGCACAAAGAAGAGAGCTGTAATTAAGTTAGTGAAAGACAATACATGAGAATCCAGAAGGAGCTGCGAGAGAACGAAGGGATCGAAGGAGGAAACGCAACAATGAGTTAAGAGATTTTGAGTCGGACTGAAAGACCTTTGAGAGAAGGAGTGAGTTGGAGAAAGAGAGGAAAACGTGTGGCTCTGAATGACTGATCAAGTTTCTGCAGCGAGGTGCTGCTTGTACCAATTATTCCCCCTCTGTGTTTGACTGTCGAGGCGTTGAGCGGCACAGCGCTGCCCACCAGGATTAGAGAGGAGGAGGACAGGAAGAGGAGCGTGGAGAGATAAGAACCTAATTAGCTTGCAGCCTTTCGTTGCCTCCCCCTCCACCCCCTCCTCCTCCCCTCCTCCCGTCCCAGGAGGACGACAGACTGATAATACAGATACACAGACAGGAAGAGAGGAGAGTCAGCTTCCTCTTTTCTCCGCAGCGTGTCTGACGGTGTAGAGACTGAAGAGCTTTATTTGGATTTCTCCTCGCATCACTCCCTCCTTTCACAGGGCCCTGAGGCTTCACGAAAGACGAGGTGGAGACACTGTCCACCTCCCAGTCTGCACCCCCCACGTCCATTTCAAAACCTCTGATCGCATCACATGATCTTTGAGTAGTCAAATTGTCCTTGTAAAGGTTTGAACTAAAATGTTTGAGGACATCCAGCCAATAATGAGCTTTTAACCTACACTACATATTTGTTGGCCACTTGAGGATGGGGGCAATATGTAATCTTTTAAGGTAATATCGTGGCTAACTTGAGATACTTGTGCATCAGAATCAGGGTTCTCATCTGTATCTGTCCCCTTCTGATCATATCAAATGATCTTAATTGGTAGGTGAAGTTACCAAGCTGTCAATCAAACTTCAGTAGATTTTCTGTTTTCTAATTCCAGGTCAAAAATAAGCTTTTAACCTGTGATGCTTCTTTTTTGGTCACCTGATTGCATTGGGAACAAGTCGTGCTTTCATTCAATATGTCAATCAGTGAAATCCAGCAGCTAGGAGAAACATGAACACTCACTTGGAGTCGCGTGTGTGTCCACCTGATCAATGTAAGTCCAATATTCACTCTTCTTTACGTCTATTTGGTATCTACTAACTCCTAAAGGTCTTTCTAATGGATGAACGCACCACTATGTTCATTGGTTTGTCTGTTTAACAGAAAGAACAGTACGTTTTTACAGATCCAGTTCTTTTTCTAGAATCATTTCTTCTTTTCATATTATCTTTTTATAAATTGTCCCTTTATATATAAACCACTTTCAATCAAAATGAAATAAGATTGTTGCAAAGACGTTGTAAAGTAGGTATCATTGTAAAGGTATCAGAAAATAAATATTTAGATGTCAGAAAAGTCTTGAGTTTCTGTCTATGAGACTTTTTCGAGGTCAAACTGAAAAACTCTAGAGGTCAAAGCTGGAGAAGATATCAGCTATTATTAATTCAGATGTGTTTTTCCGACTGCAACAATAAGTATAAGTTAGTTCACTGCCCGGAGGAAAACACCTGACCTCTCTGACTGTTTATGCGTGTGTGTGTGTGTGTGTGTGTGTGTGTTTGTGTGTGAGCAGAGCCCTGGCTGCTGTTACTGTATTTGTGGGCGTTAGCATCAAGGCTAATGAACCCCATAGGGACTGAATAGGACTGCCTGTGGACATGCTAATGCTCACTGAGTGCAGATGTATCCTGTAGGAGGAGAAACACACACGCACACACGCTGCAGACTGTGAGATGAGTCACAGCTGAAGACGGCGCTGTTAAGGTGCTGCTGCTAGGCTCCTACACTGACTAACTGAAGAATACAAATATCTTATAAGCTTTTTGTCCCACGCTGGATGCTGTCTGCACCAAAGCTCTGCAGCAGTGTGAAATTAACTGGACAACCGCAATGTGTGCGTGTTAAATATCTCCACTTTAGCCTCCACACACTTCACTGTGTTTTAATTTAACACACACACGTGGCTGAACATGTTAAATGTGGAGGATGGTTGGGAAATGAAGAAACAATAAGCTTGTCTCAACTGGATTTGAAGTGTTATGAAAGAGTTCTTGGGCAGTATTTCAGATTCTGACGTGGGACAGATGTGAGCAGTGAATATTTAAGGTGAATATAAACTAAAAATATGTATGTGACGGCGCAAACATTTAAGCGCTTGCTTCAGAATTTAGACAAATCACTACACTAACCTCTCATCCAAAATACATTTAAGATGCATCAAGTGTTCATTCTCCCTCAGCCTCTGGTTTGCAGTTGCATAATCTCTGAGTGGAGACATTTGATATCCTGCTTAGTGTGGTTTATGTGTAAAGAAAGATTGATGGTTTTTTCCTTCATAATCCTAGGAAAACTATTGAGCAATCAGACGATACTCTGCACTGACACACTGCTCATTCCACCTTCAAATTACATTTACGATTGTGCCCTGCGGCTCAGGACAGGACAGTATCATCAGACCCATCACTGTGTGCTACGCTAACAAAATGGCTGGTGCTTCGAAGGAGAACTCCACATCGTCTTTCTTCTTTAGAAATGTTTCAAAAAGCTGCCATAGTGTATTTCATCTGTTCTAAAATTAAACAAACACTGTTCATAGAGCAGATCTAAGGAATGTCAAATATTTAGTTACATAATGAGGAAATGGTGAACGAGGGAAGATTTCTGTGTAGTACTTTTGCACCTTAAACATGCAGCTGACTGAAAGCCAAATTAAACTTTAAAGCCTTGTCTCTTTCAATTAATTCAGTTTTTCAAAACATTTTTAGAGGTGTCTGTTTCTGATTCTGTCTGTGAATGACTGGCTGTGTTTTGTTGTGTGTCTTGGCTGCAAAAGCTTAGGTAGAAACAACACAGTGGAAGTGCTACTATCATTTGATCATTCAGCTAATATGAATATGACGTTTATTTTTGGCTCATTTCTTCTGCACTCACGATGAATTTGAATGTGCCTAAAGTAAAGGACACATTAAAGTCCAAGCATCTTTTTGGCAGTGAGGCCTCCTCACGTGCGATCATATGGGCTGAAGATTCAAATCCCAAAATAATATTTTGTTCTAACTTTGACCTCATGAGTTTTTGTTCAAGATTACAGTTGATAGTTTCCACGATTTGCAGGAACTATTATCTGCTACTTTTTGAGTTTGTAATAAATCCCACAAATATATATATTTACATTATTAACATATATATTTGTTACAATACCTTGTGTTCTACTGTTTCTGCAACTACAAGTACACGATAACACACATTTAAGATGAGCTAAAGCAGCTTCTCACTGCCGACTCCAGCTCTTAGAAATGTTTTTGAAGTGAAATAAATATTCCTCACTGTCTTCATGAAACAGATGACTCTACCTCCATTTGATGCATCTTACTTCTGTTTGATTTTGGAAGGACGAAGAACAGGAGGAGGAGGAGGAGGAGGAGGTTTGTTTTTAAAGACGACAGCTCTCAGAGTTTGACCTGAAAAGCTTTTCAGGTTTGAACAACAATTCACCAACACGAAAACAAAGAAATCGATTAAACAAAAATAAGTCAACAAAAATCATATTTTTTATTCTAGAGCCTCCTGCATCGCCATGGCAACTGATGCCTTCTGCAGCTCCTTTGACAGCCGAGTCCCCGCCTTGGAAACTTGACATGGGAAAAAACTTTACAAAGTAAAAAGTTAGACTGTCGGTGCGCCTGTGGGGGGTGGGGTGGGGGGTCGTACCTGTGTCTGGATGCGGTTCAGCCCTCTGAACCACAGGATCTGGCCTCTCCGCAGCTCCATCTCAGCGTGGTCGATCTCGTCCGCTCCCTCCGCCATCTCCTCATCCTTGATCTCCTCCTTCGTTGTGCCGTGCCCCGCCTCCATCAGGAACTTCAGGTGGTGAGTGGGGATGGCAGAGATCAGCTGAAAAAAAGAAAACGTCATTTTTTAAAACCGTGTCCGCTGATTTAAAAAAAAAAAAACTGTAGGTCCCACTCAGCCTTTGAAAGATTTAGGAATATACAGTTATAATAAAGAACCTGCGAATAAACGAGTGTGGAGTTTGAACATTTTGTTGTTTTACCAAAGTGATGCTAACAAGTGCATTATGGCTTAATGTAGGATCAAGTGTTTTTGACTCAGTCTTTTCCTTTTTGTGAAGGTGCCCCTTTAAGAGTGGTGTGAATCAACATCATTAAGGATGTTTTTGGTGAAATACACGCAAAGTTCAACAAATATATATATATATATATATTATTTCTTTCTTTACTATAGAATGCTATTGCCAGAAGTCTGACAAAAACAACATCTTAACCTGATCCTGAACCTATTCTTAGATTTGTTTTGGAATGTAAACCCTGTTTTGATATTTTCTTTTCTAACTATTATAATTTGTACTTATCTTTTCTTAATAATAAATGAATTATTATGATTAAAAAGATTGAGGCATAATAACTTTTATTTGCAAGATACACTTTTACACAGTTATTAGTGGCTGCTTCATCAATATATTTGTATGTTCACCTACTTTTTTTTATACTGCTGAGTTATTTGATTTGATTACAACATGCGCTCACCTCTTTATATGATGTATTAGTATACTAATCTTAAATTTGCCTATTATATGCAATTTCGCTTTGCTTGAACAATGTACATTTCCCCACAGTGGGACTAATAAAGAATTTCTGATTCTGATATGTATAATGGAGTACTGATGTCTCTGTACATCACATTGTGTAACGTGTATTGTTGCTCTGATTATTGCTTGTTCATTGTTCAAATAAAAAAAGAAAGGAGAGAGTCACACCCAGCCTCCTGCTGCAGCTGCACATTTTTACGCCTGTCACCTTCCTTCTCTGTTAGAAACCAAAGTGGTCTAAAAGAAATCACAGCCTCAGATCAGCGTGTTTCTGTCAGCATCTTCCCGCCTCTCTGTTCTCTGCCCTCCAACTGAACCCACCAGGCTTCCTGCGACTCAACTTTAGTTTCTTTCTGTTCAATGTATGCTTTCTAAGCCTGTGTGTATCCACAGAGGGACTGACACGCTGGGTTTGTTTTCCCTCGGCGCTCGTAAACAGGCGCTGCTTTCATGTGCCGCGCTCATTACCATGGCGATGGTTGGGATGGCAACGCTGCAGCAGCAAGAAGTGTGACAGGCAACAGTTTGCTGCCACAGACCTCAAATATCCACCTCTTCATCTTCCTCTCAGTGAATGTGGCTTATTCTTAAGTGAAGCTCATTTCCCACAGAACAGTGCAGGAAAGAGTCCTCAACCCTGGAAATGAGTGATGAAATGAATCGTTTTTTTGACTGCGGTTTTGGTTAGACGCCTGAAATAAGGTTTGCTGTGAACAAAGGCTACAGAGATTTATGGGTTTGTTCTACAACTTAACATATTTCAATATAAAACATTAGCCACCTTTAGCTTAGCGGTGGTGATGTGAAGTTTGTGATCGTGCTGTAGCTTGTTTTCAGCTTTATGTTTTTTACTCCTGGCGATTGCATAGACGCTTAAAATCATAAAAGTGGTGTAAATACGTGGAGATGATCCTACTGCTGAACAAAACGTTTCAAAAAAACTAAGTTGCCAAAGAGCTTATTTTTTTGCAATAATCCAAAGTCGAATGGAAATATTTTTTTGTGGGAGCCCATGCAATCAATCTGTAACACCACCTAGTTGAAAAATCGATTCTGATATTTCAATTTGGACAATCAGCAGTCTATTTGTTTTCTTTTCTATATTTGTGGAAAGCCCGAAACACAAGAAAACCTGGATCAGTGCTGCCGTCCTTTTACTTTACGTTGATATTGCTGCAGTTCAGCCGTTGACACGCAGCTGAAGAGACGGTTCTTTTGTCTTAGGAGAAGAGATACAATCATTTTTTAAATAAATAAATGATTGATTTATGCTGTAAGTAGCAGTGTAATAAGCGGGACCATTGGCAATGAGCAGGTCATTATTGCATAAGGAACAACTACAGGGTCGGAGTTCCTTTCCCAATAAAGAACTGCCCACTGCGCATTCACTTTACTGATCCTCTGGTTGTGGTTCTGGTCTCACCTGTCCCCACAGCAGCTCTCCGACTCCGATGAACACACACCACAGCCACTGGTCGATGGTCAGCGCCGTGCAGGAGAACGGCTTCCCTCCGAACTGAACGATGACGATCTGAGGAGCAACGGAAACATACGGGACGTGTGAGCTGAGCGCTGCTTCAGTCTTAAAGGATTACTCTTCTGTATTTGTCTTATAGTCAGAAAATCCTTCATGGAAACCAAAACTAACAATGAATTGATCCACTAACAAGTACCGTCTGTGTAGTCAAAGTCTAATATATCTGTTCCTCTCTGCCATAGAGCTCTATGTATGTCCACAATTATTATAAGAATAATTCACTGCCTACATTTCTTTTTTTATCAATTATTCTTCAAATTCTAGTTCTTTTTCTCACATTCTAAAAGATAATTGAGCCTTCTATATTACTTATTTTAAAGCTTTTTTTATGATGTATGTCTTCAGCTGCACCAAACGTGTCGGAACAAAGACAAGAATATCTATCCTGAGTTTCAAACTTACAACTTAAAACAGATGGTGACACATCTGGTCCAACATGAATTCAGTTAATACATAACATACTAAACAATGACCTTATTAAATAGAAATGACGCCTTCATATAAATGATCTAATGAAAACCTGCTGTATGTATCTCAAAAGAAACAGTATGCAGTTATTGAATGACTGCACTAGCTGATGGTGTTGGTGGTGGAGTTACCTGCAGGATGAAGGTCCCCAGCACCACGCTGCAGAAGATGGGGTTCTTGTAGATGCCCTCGAACACGTTCCTCTCTCCGTGGATCTTCCTGGCGTTGATTTCGTTGAACAGCTGCATCATGACGAACACGTTGAACACGATGGTGTAGTGCTCCGAGGGCGGCGCGTGCAGGGGAGTGTTGCGTCCGCTATCGATGTTGAAGATCGTCTCGCCTGAGAAACACAAAATAAATATCTATTTTTAACAACATTTATTCACATCCAGATTTTGAAAGACTGAACAATAAAATCCACAGGCTAAATATTTTACAAAATGGGAAGGACATTTTTCAGTGGAAATAAAAATAATATACACAAATAATTCAAATCACAAAACAAATTTTTGCCTTCAAATGTGGTAGGTTTGTTTAACTTACCGGCGAAGAGCAGGGTGAAGATGATGGTGAGCTGGTACACGGCGTGGCCCAGGATGTTCTTCATCATGGTCCTGGAGATCAGAGGCTTGTTGCGGCCGTACGGTTTACGTAACAGCAGAGACTCGCAGGGCGGCTCCGTGGCCAGAGCCAGAGAAGCCAGAGTGTCCATGATGAGGTTCACCCAGAGCATCTGGACGGCCTTCAGAGGGGAGTCCTGCAGGAGGAGGAGGAGGAGGAGGAGGAGGAGGAGAGGTCAGGGGTTTCATTTACAGGAATAGTGGAAACAGCACAACTCCATCTCTTCACATTTTGAGAAATACAGATTTCATCATCATTTCCAAACTCACAACAACAAATATTTGACCTCAATAATTTTCAGCACCAACATTTAGATTTATGTATCAACAAATATTTCTTATCCCATTTTTTTAGTTAAATGCGTAGAAAAAGCATTGCAACAGATTTAAGAAGCTTTATTAGAAAACTCCAATAGAAGCGTTTGGATGTAATTACAGCCCTATTTTTAACACTCCATCACAATCTCAAAACAGACAGTTAAAAAGGACGTTCATAATTAATAAAGCAGAATCAGAAATGCAGTCTTTTTTATTCTATACTTTCTTCCTCCAAGTCCTGCTGCCAACATTACGTACATTATCCATAATGCACCTTGACTTCGGTCAGGTTAGGGATCCCTTCGTTGTGCTAGAATCAGCTAATGATAATATAAAGCTCATCTTTAATAGTTTGTTTTGTTGTTTTTCATTTTGCATAAAACGTATTTGCCTCAACCAAGGGTTGACACACGTAAAAAGTGATCAGACTTTACAGCACATGTTTTTTTAATTCTTTTAAAGAGGGCCTATTATACTAATGTTCAGGTTCATATTCGTATTTCGTGTCTCTACTGGGACATGTCTCCATGCTTTAATGTTCAAAAAGCTCTTTATTATTCTCATACTGCCTGTGCTGCAGCACCTCTTTTCCCCCTCTGTCTGAAACCAGAGCCCAGTCTGCTCTGATTGGTTAGCTGGCCAGCCCTGTTGTGATTGGTCAACTGCTTAGAGATGTCCCTCCCCTTAGCCAATCACGTACAATGTGTTGGAGAGTTGGCAAATTGAAGCGAGAGAGTGACATAGTGATGTCATTAAGTCACAGAAGTAAACAAAGGAGTCCAATGGAGGGGTTCCAGGCAGGGGGGGAGTGTGTGGGAGAGAAACTCCCTCTGGAAGGTACACGTGGATTTGAGCCTTTGCAGACCATTTACATGCATAAAAACGATATAAAAACACACCACAGGGAGGTGAAAACCCCAGAAGCATAACTTATTCTAAACGTGCAGCAGTACTAAAATGGTGGAGTTGTCCTTTAAGTATAGTGGTACATTAACAATACAGAGATTTACATAGCATTTATATATTTGGTCACACTACCATAATAATAACCAATTATATCCTAGCGTGTTGTCTGCAAGGCTGATTCAAATGCATATAAAATACAGGAAAAAGCGTTTACACACACACATTTAGTTGGACCCCCGCCACTTGTGATACCAAACCCACGCCCAGAGCAGTCCCTCTGTGTATACAATAAAGACATAAATCAGTTTACCATCTTTTAATGATCTGTGCCAACATGTCAGAGGATGATCAGTGAGAATAAACACAGCGCAGAGACCTGCCGAGTCCCCGCTGTATTTCAGGATTATGATGGTGACGTGTTGCCATGGTTTCAGGCTGTATCTTAGCCTACTTTGTGTTCTTTACTCTGAAGCCGAGTTTGTTATCTGTCCTGCCAGCTGTGAGGCTTTCAATTAATACTCAGCCGCAAGTTACTTTTTATATTGTGTCAGGAGTTCAGTTTCCTTATTAGAGACACGGTATGAAAAAAAGAGAGAAGAAAGTGACACGGCTGCCTCACACGGTCACATCAAAGTAAAACACTTTTGATTTGATCAAAAATAAATCCACAGAAGAGCAGATGCATCAAACACGAGAGTAAGTGTTCAAATGTAATATAACTACCAAGACAGAAGCTCCTGTTCATGTTCCACCCTTAACATCTACAAAGAAGGTAGGATTCACTAACAGCTGAGCAACATATATCCTTGATGCTCCTGCCCTATTTGCACATACAGTATTTCAATCATGTAATATGCACACCTTTGGCACAAAAACCCCTTCCATGCAAATAAGCCTAATTGCAAAACAGTATAATGCTCAAAGCACTTATAGCCACACGTAGTTACAGTGAAACTGTTAGCTCTTCAAAGTGTTGGTGGTAACCAAAGTGCATTAAACACACGGACTGACATTTTATGTCACTTATTAAATCTCTGTCACTTTTACATTTTCACCTTTAACTTTTTTTAAAGAGGCCCTATTATGTTTTGGGGGGTTTTCACTTTCCTGTAGTGTTATAGAGGTTTTGGTGCAAGTAAATGGTCTGCAAAGGCTAACATCCAAAAGTTCCCTCCAGAGGGAGTTTCTCTCCCGCACACTGCCCCCCTGCCTGAGACACCTCCATTGGACTCCTTTGTTTACTTCTGTAACATAATGACATCACTTTGCAACACTCGTGCTTCTATTGGCTAGCGCTCCAACACATTGTACGTGATAGGCAAATGGGAGGGACATCTCTAAGCGGTTGACCAATCACAACAGAGCTGGCCAGCTAACCAATCAGAGCAGACTGGGCTCTGGTTTCAGACAGAGGGTGAAAAGAGGTGCTGCAGCACAGACAGTATGAGTAGAATAAAGAGCTTTGTGAACATTAAAGCATGGAGACATGTCACAGGAGAGACACAGAATACAAATATGAACCTGACATAATAGGGCCTCTTTAAGGAATGCCTCTGCACCCCGTCGGTCACAATCTGAATATTTCATTTTTCTTCCTCTCTTCCTTTGTTCTGCCAACTGTGTCTTTGATGCAAAGGCTACATTTACACTTTGCCACAGAGAAAATAACGATTTGACAACAAAAAAAAGAGCAAATTGCACCAAGCTGTAAAAATGTTACATCACTTGCGGCTGCATTCTGTTGCGGTGGCAATCCATCGTTTGTAAAATAGCCGGTCAGTCTTTTCCCTTGTTTTCAAGTTCTCATTTAATGTACATCCCTAAATCTGGTTAAACCAGGTGACTGACTGTAGAGACACTAGCAATGTATTCCTACTGATATTATACTCTGTGTGTAGGAAGTCACAACTATAGTCTAAAACAAGAGGCAGAAAGGGTGAAATAATGTTGAATGTTATATTTTCCATATTATTTCCACGAACATTTATATGATTCATTTTATGATGATGTTTGGACTACCATAATAACCCCAATGTTGACAGCTGGGACCGAATCGCACTTACAAACACTGTGAAGGAATTTATTGGCTTGTTTAAACCTGCTGGTTATTTAGATTATTGAAAAGCATATTAAACACATTTGTACATACTGATTGTTGTTAAATATTGTAGTTTAATATACATTTTATGTTCACTTATGTATACATAAATATGTCAATGTTTTAATCTTATTTGATCTTATTCTCAAATTGGAGTAAGGGTTAAAAAAGGATTTCCCTCAGAGGATAAATTGAGTATTTTCTTATCCTGATTAGTGTGCAGCTGTCCTACCTGTGTGATGCAGGCGCCGGTGAACGCCACGATCACGGCCACCACGTTGACGGTCAGCTGGAACTGCAGGAACTTGGAGATGCTGTCGTACACGTTTCTTCCCCACATGACGGCCTTTACGATGCTCGAGAAGTTGTCGTCGGTCAGGATGATGTCAGACGCCTCCTTTGCCACATCTGTGCCGGCGATTCCCTGAAAAGAAGGAGCAGGAAGTGGAAATTCAGATCCTGTGTTATCTCATTTAGACAAAAAAACAGCTTACAGCTTGTTACAATATGATAGAGCTCCATTGCAGAGTATAATCTGATCCGATCATTCAATGCCAGTTTCTGCAAGATAAATCTGAGGAGTAGTGAGTTCTGAGAGAGGAAGATCATTCTTCCCTCTTGTATACAATATACGATGACGGCTCACAAGAAAATGTTGTAATCATCTCATGGGTCACAAGCTAAACAGGCTGGACCAAGCTGCTGTATCTTATGTGCAACTGGTCAACTTTCTAAACCTAAAAGATAAGGTCTAGTTTGCGCACAATTTCACGAGTTTCAGATTCTTTTTTTATGGAGTTTAATATGACTCAGGAATACAACTCATCAGTATTCTTCTTCGCCTTTATATCAGTCTGATAAACACAAGGAGAGGGAAATACCAGCTGCTCGGCTTCAGAGTGGATAATGTTTCAATTTAATGTAGAAAACAACGAATTACTGGAGGCTCCATTTTACCTGTTTGTCCTTTAAAAGAAAACCTGACAAGGGGCCTCTGGTTTAAAGGATAATGCAGCTTAAGTGTACAAAGCTTGAAGGGACCATTTTTTTAACCCAATCATCTGGTAAATTAAACCAGGAGAAGGTGTGTTGTGTTCAAAAAACATATTGTGAATCTCAGCGTCTCTGCCGATGGAGGTGGATCGTGTCCGCTTTCCAGCAGAACAGGTGATAATTACACTGGGACAAATGGGCGTCAACTGAAAATATTCCAAATGGGACACGTTAGCACTGAAAGGTCTGCGGTTGAAATCCCCATGCTGCCTCTGTGGTGTGTTCAGGAACAGTAGCTGTTGTCTGAGCGCAGAGCAGCTGCTCAGCAGTCTGCAGGGGACGCTGGCGTGCCGATGACTTTCCTCACAAAGCAAAGGTCACAACAACAACAGAGAGGAGGCAGCTGATGTTACTCAGCTCCTCCACATTGTAATGTGTCAGTATCCACTGTAACCTCAGCTGAGCATTTGCTCAGTGCAACTATTTGAGCTCTGAAGCCAGCTTGGAAACCAACACAATTTCATTTTTATGATTTTCTCCATTAAGATTTATTTTTGGAAGGTGTATTTGGATTATACACCTTACTGTTAACATTTCACATTTATGGCATTGAGTACATTTTTATTAGTTTTTTACCTTTATTGCTGCTTAAAGTTTAAATGAAGGTCTTTGTCTTTATTTCCACAATATTTGATCTCAAGTGAACAACCTTCGGAAGCTTCATACTGTAGCACACTAACCCGTTTTTGCAGGTTTAATGACACCCTTAAACGTCTAAAAGCATGTCATAAATGATTATTTTCAGACCATGTTAGGCTCCAAGAAATATAATAATGTATGTTTTTCTAAAGTTTATTTTTTAAAGATAATTTTACATGATTGATTGGAAACCATTCCACTCTGGGAATAGAGGAAAAGCTTAATCCTAAAACTATATATGCATGTTATTAAATAGATTTAGGTGAAGATCTTCAGAGATAATATTGGTCAAGATGGATATAATGTCTGATATTATTGACTGTTTATAAAACAGGAATAATTACTAATATAACAGAGAGAATGTTCTCCCTCTCTGTGAGTTGATCTTTGGAGAACAGTCTCAGTAACGTGGCAGCAAAGTGAGACCCCGCTGTGCTGATGAGCACCGAGGTTCGGTGTTTATTGATTTATTTTTCCATTACACAGCTCTCCTAATGATTTCATGGCACTAAACTAAGAGTTATTGTGGATGACGTTTGGAGAAAAAACCTTCTTTCATGACTACTTTAAAAATGTAATGAATTTATTTTTTTTTCAATATTGGGAATAACGTGGAGCTAACTGGAGCAGCAGAGGAGTGAAGAGCTGTGGCAAACATGAAGAAGTGGTTACCATGGCAAAGCCGACATCAGCTTTCTTGAGGGCGGGGCCGTCGTTGGTGCCGTCTCCCGTCACTGCCACCACCTGTCGGGTTTCTAACACCGTGCTGTCGATGATACCTGCAACACAAACAATTCTCCGTTTCAATCAGGGTAATACATTTCAAAAAGGACACTAAGAACAAATACAATTTCTATTTTTGTCAGAGCGTTTGTGTTTGATGTGTTTTTATTGTGCCGATGGGTTTTTGCCTTATTTGCTCTTGTATGTTTGCTTTTAATGCCATCAACCTGTATGGCTAAATCTGGCACATTAACATGATGGACTGAATTGTTCATGTTATTAATGTGCATTGTCCCTTCTTACATGTATATACAACTAAAAAATACCTAAAAACACAAAAGAAATCCAATGATATCACTGTAGTTCAATAAGATGTCAACCAATAAGAGATATGGACTGAAACTACGACTATTGTACAGATTACATGTACAGGGATTATGTAATCAGGATAGAATAAGGTAACTGTATTTCCTTACAGTTATATCAAAAAGTGTATTCCTGTTTACTGGTACATTTAAAAAAATATATTTTGGATTACTAGCAGGATTACTGTGTTACAATACATTTACAATAACGATTTATTTATTACAGCTGTATAGCAAGAGACTGCCTGAATGTTCTTTTTGGTTTTCATTTAGGCTACTTTATTGTTTTTTATTTTAAATATCTTTTTTTTTTTATGCAGTAGGTGAACACCTGATTCGTAAAAAAAAATCCTGTGTTTGGTTTCAATTCATGTATTAAACCAAACCTGCATTTGTAAACTTAACTATTCCTAGGGTTAAGGGTGAGTTAAGAAGACACATTTTTGATACTAAATATCTTGGTTTCTTCTTTTCACATTTTCTGTTGTCTTATATGATACACTTAAAGGTGGGGTATGTAATTTTGGAGAAACCAGCTCGAGTGCGCTAGAATTTGAAAATACACAACCGGAGAAAATCTGCCACTTCCTTACCGAGCCCCTCCTCCAACACACACGAACGCGCACATGACCAATGAGGGCACGAGATAAGTTTGTGCACAGATGGAAGGCTGACAGGCAGGTAGGCCATCCAGTTATTTTAGCCGGGCGGGCTAAAATGATTGGTCGTGCTTTTTACAGTACTACGGCTTCCACAGATGACATGTTTTATGGATTTTTTGTCAAAGCACTTAAGATATTCATTGCTATCAGGATGTTAAGAGCATTCCATGGAATATAACAAAAAGTGTATCTCGAGCCGGTTTCTCAAACTTACCTACCCTACCTTTAAGTTAAAGCCTTCCCATTTAGATTTATTTGCTTTGCATTTGATATTGAGGTAAAGGTTACTGATTCATTTTTTTTACATGTAATTAGTGATTATAACAGACTACATTTTTCAAGTAACCCTCCCAACCCTGCAAATAAACATGTGGGTAGCAGTAAATCATGCTAAACAACACACATGTTACAACACTGAACCCACCTTTGACTAGAGTGTGTTTGTCTGTCGGTGAGGAACGAGCCAGCACGCGCAGTTTGGGCCAAACTTTGTCCAGACGCTCTTGTTCCACCTAGAAATGCAAATCAATAAAATAAGACTCTCAGCAACAAGAGTAATGTAATGTTTTAGTGTTCGATCGTTACGTGTGTACATGCCCTAGGACTGCAGATGGAAATGAGCTAATAGCACAAATCTGGCATGAATCATCTTTTCTCTTTTCGTGATGAATGTATCGTTATGCATGGACCTTGTTCAATAAAGACATAGTAATAATACAAATAAACATCTGTGCATGTGGCTCACCTCTCCCTGGTCGTTTCTGATCTGCTGGTTGAACTCTTTGCCCTCCATACACAGGAAGTCCTCCCCGGGCAGCAGGATGCCACACTTGATGGCGATGGCGCGGGCGGTGTTGATGTTGTCTCCGGTCACCATGCGCACAGTGATGCCGGCACGCTGGCACTTAACGATAGCATCAGGTACCTGGAAGAGTGTCAGAAAAAGATGTGAAACGAGCTCAGATGTTCAGAGGAACAGCCAGGTTCTCTTCCTGATTCATACATCTGTTTAAAGGTTATTTAAAGAAAAGCTCCTCATCTTAAAACCAATGCTGCAACTAACGATTATTTGTATTATCCATAGACTGTATATAGGTATTATCGCTAAATCTGACCATTATTTTCTGGATTATTCAATTAATCATTTGGGCTAGAGAATCCCAAATGTCTCGAAATCTTCCCTTTCTGCTGCTGTCAGCCTGTGTCATCAGCACTGGTGCCAGTAGACCGCACATACTAATGCATATTTTATTTATTTATTCATGTGCAATATGTGCAATATGATACACTGTGTAATATAACTGCGGATGGAAATTAGCTCAAAGCTAAATCTGGCACTGTTACGCTTGACACATTTGAATGTTTTAAGTGTTCATTACTGTGCATTGTCCCTGCCAAATAAACGATTAAATAAATAAATAATACATTACTGTATATGTGCAATAATTTAAATTCAATGTCAATTTTTGCTTACTTATATATTATATGATATACTGTATGTACCTTTGCACCTGCTTGTTGTAGTCCCTTTGCTGCTGTAACACAGCACATCTCCCAGTTGTGGGACTAAAGAAGATTATCTTATCTGATGTCTTGAAATGTCTTGTTTTGTCAGGCCAAAACACAAGGATATTCAGTTTAAGATGAAACACAACAAAAGACCCGGAAAAGCCCCATACTTAAGAAGATGAAAAAATAACTTTGAACGACTATCACAGTTGTCCATTACGTTTGAGTCGATCGACCGCAAAGCATTTCATCTCTACTTAAAACTGCATTCCTTAGACTGGTTTATTAAACTGAAGTGCTGCATGATAAGACAGATCTAGAATCAGATTTTCAGACAGCAAACATGTGGAACCACACAGGCTCTGCACAGTGGCTGCTCTTTGTCCTAACAGAGACCTCATTCATCTCAGATAACAGAATGAATGAAAAGAGAGACAGACATCTGTGAGGAGTCTGTGGTTAGGGGTGCATACCGGTTCCCGGTATTACCGAAATACCGGTTACTGGCGGCTACGGTATACCGTACCGAAATCAGATCCGTTTTTCTTTTTTTTTAATAAAAGTGAGGCGTAATATCCTTAAACTCGCGCCCAGACCGTCGGAATTACGATGTCAATTTCGCCGTGAAACTCCGCAAACGAGTCACTTCAGAAAATCTAAAGTGTGGCTGCATATGACTGCCAGTCGGAATGGTGGGGTCTGTAACCACTGCAAGTCTGAATGGTGGGGTCTGTAACCACTGCAAGTCTGAATGGTGGGGTCTGTAACCACTGCCAGTCTGAATGGTGGGGTCTGTAACCACTGCAAGTCTGAATGGTGGGGTCTGTAACCACTGCCAGTCTGAATGGTGGGGTCTGTAACCACTGCCAGTCTGAATGGTGGGGTCTGTAACCACTGCCAGTCTGAATGGTGGGGTCTGTAACCACTGCCAGTCGGAATGGTGGGGTCTGTAACCACTGCCAGTCGGAATGGTGGGGTCTGTAACCACTGCCAGTCTGAATGGTGGGGTCTGTAACCACTGCCAGTCGGAATGGTGGGGTCTGTAACCACTGCCAGTCTGAATGGTGGGGTCTGTAACCACTGCCAGTCTGAATGGTGGGGTCTGTAACCACTGCCAGTCTGAATGGTGGGGTCTGTAACCACTGCCAGTCTGAATGGTGGGGTCTGTAACCACTGCCAGTCTGAATGGTGGGGTCTGTAACCACTGCCAGTCGGAATGGTGGGGTCTGTAACCACTGCCAGTCTGAATGGTGGGGTCTGTAACCACTGCCAGTCTGAATGGTGGGGTCTGTAACCACTGCAAGAAGTTTATTTCTGGGAAAGGCGGCAACACATCCAACCTCCAACCAATGCTGTCTCATATGGCAACCAAGTACCTTTGTGTTCAGGGAAGCAGCGTGCCAAGCGAGAGAGAGTTCAGTTCAGCAGGTGATATGCTACGCTGTGAAAGGGCCCGTTTGGATCCAGAGAGAGCAGATATTCACAAAACTGAACTGTGATGGGATTAGTTTTCTTTCATCAGGCAAATGTTGATTTTAATGATGCTATTTGTTTTATGTGCAATACCGAGATCTCATGATCCTTTATGTGTTCTCTGGTCAGTCGAATCTCAGGTTGAATATTGATTATCCTGGTGCTATCTTCTTTTTCCATTGACAAGATGTACTATTCACGCCTGATTGTTGATATAAATGATATTGCAGAATCAATTTTCTTCATAGATAACGTGTTTTTCATTGTTTGTTCAGTACTAAAAGGTCCAAGTCCCACAATTGAATTTAATATTAATTTGACATGTTAACTATATCATAAAGCGCTTCATGGGAGTAATTGCGGGATGATAAAATGTTTCCCTTATGCAACATGAAAGTATCACGATATGTATCGGTTGAGTATCGGTATCGTTCAGTGGTATCGGTATCGTACAAAAAGTCAACGATATGCAACCCTGTCTGTGGTGACATGACGGTCAGTGGACAATCAGAAAGCAGCTTCCTCTGCTCAGCGGGGGGTCAAAAGACATTTGATGGAGAACAGCAGGAGTTCTGTGTTACTTGCACAAACACACATCCTATGTTTGATTCACCTCAGTGGAGGGGTTACTCATTATTAACCACAGGTTTAAAATACTAGTTTTTACTTATAAAAGATAAAACAGATACCTGTATGGTATTGTAATAAAGAAATGCTTGACAGATGATATTATTTACTAGCCAACTGGGTCTGGGTCAAACTTGGTCATTTGAATCATTCTTTTTAACGTGTGACAGCCTTAGCTTATAGCATTCATCTGGTTACGTCTTTATTTATTTTTACAATTAACAGTATTTTATTTCACTCCACAGTATGTCATTTTTCTTTCTGTTTTAATTTGATCTTATTCTACTTTAGATGTATCAATCAATCAAAGTTTATTAATATAGCACAATCAGACATTTTAGATTTGTCTCAGGGGGCTTTACAGTTTTTACAGAATACATATGAATATGAATCCCTCTGTTCTATAGACCCTCACATTGGACAAGTCAAAACCCCCCAGTTAATGGGGAAAATAGAAGAAACCTCAGGGAGAGTAACTGTATATAGTTTACTTATTTCTGCATTAACTTGCACATTGGTCTCCGTCTTGCACCACTTTATTTGTATTTCTGTTTTTATTGCACTATTTTGTATTGTTTTGTGCCCTATGTATATTCATGTTGCATTGTTGGAGGAGCCTGTTATATGACTATGACTATAGATAGACAGCCTTTGAATATTTGAATCTTCAATGTGCTGCACCAGGAAAGAAACCGGCCGGGTGAAACAATGGTTGGTGGGGGGTTCTTTAGGATGGGTCATTTGTCACACTCACACAGTGAGACATATTACCCAAGGCAAATGTTCTAACCTGGAAAATAAAGTATATCGTATCGTAAAGTAAGAAGTAGGGGGGGCTGATTCGGGCTGCTTTATTGAATAGTTGTTGTGTGTTGTCTCTGGAAATTGAACAGTTGCTACACTGTTTTGAAAGTGGAAGTAGACCCTTTCAGGTCACAGATAAATGTACAATGTTTCATGAATATGTAAATTAATGTATGCCTAAGTAGCCGAAATATCAATTTGGTGGCATCACATGTTGTTTTTGGATAACTGTGGATCTGCTGACTGTCTCCTGCTGCTCTCCAGTTATTTCCATCCTGCGTGTGTTCTTTGTTCTCTGACATTAAAGCAGCAGGCAGCATCACTGATGTTGTCTGAGCTTCATTACTTCATTTAACACTTCAGAGCATCCGCACACCTGACCACGACTACCTTCAGCGTGTCTGTTTGGAGAAAACGGTTTGTTTATCTCACCTCATTGACGCGCTATTGAACACTTTCCCCCTCTCCTTATAACACTAATATAATTATGAGCAGTGAGTCAGATCAGTGCAGTAACACTCTTGGCCTCATGTTCTCCTCTGTTCTTTCAGAAATAAAATCAACGTAGTCACTCCACGTCATGCCTACAGTGTGTGCATTTCAAGCTAAACTAGAGTCATTTAAGTACTAGCTAAAAGAAACGTCATATATCACTGATTGTTGATCATAAAATGCTCACACAGACTGGACAGGCAATGGTAATGTTGCAATGCCAATACACAGTACAGTGTTTATCAGACCGAATGTATCAGATTGTGTTGTGCAAAAATAAAGATAGATGTTGAGAACCTTATGGTTAGCCTAGTATTTATATAAGGGTATACATGTAGAGCAGGGTTTCCGTTAGCCCGTAATGACCGGTTTTTAGCTGGTAACATTTATTAAAAACCGGTAAATTCAAAACCTGCCGGTCAAAATGTCCGGTAATAATTAGGGATGCTCCGATCGATCGGCCGCCGATCATTATCGGCCGATATTCACTCTTAATAGTTTGATCGGTGCTCTCTATAAAGGCCGATCAGGAGAGCTGGATCTGATCGATATTATGGACATAAACGCGAGTGAAGTTTAACCGGACGCGAGAGAGAGAGAGATCAGATCAGCTGCTGAGTCTGCCGGAAACACGCAGCTCTGCATGATCACCTGAAGCCCCGCCCACTGTTTAGCGAGCTGCATGAGATACAGACGGGCTGTCAGGAGAGAGAGGGAGGGAGAGGGGAAAAGAGAGGATCCGTTTCTCCCGTGTTATTATCCAAAGTTAATGTAAACTTTAAGTTAATGTAAACTTTTGAATAATGTACTTTATCTACTATAAGTAGTTTGTTTGAATGTAATACTGATGTTGTTTGTTGTTTGTGGAAGCGCATCATTTATTGAAAAATGAATCTGAACTTTTCGATCTGTTACGATTATAAACTGAAGCAATATAAAAATGACTCCCATTAACTGAGTTTTAAACATCAGCATATCCGGTCATAGTCCGGTGATTACCTGCTAACGGAAACTCTGCTACACAATTCTTATTATTATTATTGAAACATGACCGGTAAGTTTCAAATTTGTCCGGTAAAATAAATTATTTCCGGACATTTAACAGGCAAGAAAAAATCCTAGCGGAAACCCTGATATAGAGCTCTCCCTAAATATCTAACATGTTTTCTAGGGATCTTTTGTCTCTTTCAGAGGAGCCGAGTTACACATAGCTCCTCTTCATTTTGAACCCTTATATCGTTTATTTAAGGATGAGTATGCTCACCTTCAGGTTCATATGTGTATGTAGAGCCTCCACTGTGACATGTCTACATGCTTTAATGTTCTTTCATTTTCTCACACTGCCTGTGCTGCAGCACCTCTTTTCACCCTCTGTCTGAAACCAGAGCCCAGTCTGCTCTGATTGGTTAGCCGGCTGGTTCTGTTGTGATTGGTCAATCACTTAGAGATGTCCCGCCCCTTAGCCTATCACATACAATGTGTTGGAGCTCTAACCAATGGAAGCGCAAGTGTTACAGAGCTCCTTCTGGAGGGAACCTTGGGATTTTAACCTTTGCAGACATTTACATGCACAAAAAACCAATATATCACACTACAGGAAAGGGACAAACCCAAAAAGCATGATAGTGCCTCTTTAGGACTGATCCCTACTAAGGCTGCATTCACACCAAGTCAGGTTATGTGGCGAAAAATCCAGTCCTCTCCCTTAGTTCCATTCAAATTAGGCAAAAGTCTAGCTGCTGAAAACTACTTAAAGATGAACCGATGGTGAAATATGATGTTTTCTGAAGCCGCTTCAATAATACCCATTGGCCCAAGCCATTTACATAACCCAGTGTCAGTGTGAACTACTTTTCCGGTGGATATCTGCGTGGGTGGTGTGAGGTTTCTTCTGTACCTCAGGTCTGACGGGGTCCTCGATGCCGACAACCACGATGCAGGTGAGTTCGTTCAGGATTTCGTTCTCGTTTTCCCAGTTGGGCTCTCCGGCCTCGGCGGGGAAGTCCCTGTACGCCACGCAGATGGTCCTCAGCCCGTCGCACGCCATTGGCTCAATCACCTTGCGCACCATCTCGTCACGGTCCTTAGGCTTGAAGATGCGGGGCTGACCCTGGGTGTCCAAAATACTAGAGCATCTGGGAGAGGAGAGGGAGGGAGGAGCTCATTAAGGGTAACATGTCATCGATCGACAGCTCTTCCCTCAGACTGGGGAAAACGATCACTAATTATAATTATTTTCAGTTTATTTGTTCTCTTTTCTTACTTCCTCAGGACGATCTCCGACGCTCCTTTGCTGTACATGCGGAAACCTCCATCAGCGTTCTTCAGCACCGTGCTCATGGACTTGCGGGAGGAGTTGAAGGTGTAAACCTTGTAGAGTTTTTCCTCGGGGACCTCGTCTCTGATTGGCTGGTAGTCCCTCTTCAGCTGCAGCACCATGCCCAGCAGAGCGCACTCCGTCTTGTTGCCAACGTGGCGAGGCAGGCCTCCTTCTTTCTCCGGAGGCTGAGGAGGGACAAAAGCATTGGGTGTAATGTTTAGAATTGTATCATTATCAGGCAACATTAGCACCAACACTACTTCTGCATGTACAGATGTGTTTGATTTGAAAGGTTGTTAGCCCACAAGTTTTAAGTCAGAAGCGAACAGAAGCTAACCTGGATCTGAAAACGTGTCTTATTTTCAGATCCTTTTACAATTCTCTAAAAAAACAAAATGTCCCGAACTAAGAGCTTCCGGTTCTTCTGAACACTGTTGCTGTTCCTGATTAATAACACCTTCAGAGAGCAAGGTTAAGGTTACGGTTACATGTTTGTTAGTGTTGTGGTTGGTGGTTGCTGTGACAGTGAAGGTCTCACCAGGATCTTGGTGGTGTAGGCCGAGTTGATGGAGATGCTGTTGACCATAACTTCCAGAGTCTCTGGTTTGATGGCATCGGGCTCGGGGACAGTTTTGAAGTGCGTGTCGTTGACGTAGGCCTGCACCACCGTCATGCGGTTCATGGTCAGCGTGCCTGTTTTGTCCGAGCAGATGGCTGTAGCGTTGCCCATGGTCTCACAGGCGTCCAGGTGACGCACCAGGTTGTTATCCTTCATCATTTTCTAAAATACGAACAGCGAAGTTAAAGGCTGAGATTTGCATTTGGACTTTGTTATTTAAACACAACATGACTCGTAGTTATCGAATGCTACACAAACATGATTCTTTGGGGGTTTAAATCCATTTATCTTACATTTCCCATAATCTTACCTTAACGGAGTAAGCCAGAGAAATGGTGACGGCGAGCGGCAGACCCTCAGGGACGGCCACCACCAGCACGGTCACGCCGATGATGAAGAATTTTACGAAGTACTGGATGTAGATGGGGGTGCACTCGGACGTCCAGGATCGGCCCTGGACCGCGAAGGTGTCGATCACAAAGTAGAGGATGAGGATGATGACGGTCAAAGCCGACATGATCAGACCTGGTGACAAGAAGAAGAGTTTAAACACAAGTCCTTTTTCATGGCACATGTTTTACTATGTAAGGGACCACTGGTTTCAAAGTATTGTATCTCATACTGTTAGAATTCAATTACATTAGCATTCTTTTTTTGTAGAAACACTTTTTAAACGTTTCGTGGTGCATTCAGGGACAATCCTATGTCCTACTGTATAGCCAATGGCAGTTTGCTGAAAAGCCATGAAGCTGTTCTGAAATAAATCATTAATAAGTCATTCACAGAAAATAAACAAAGGATAATCATGTCATCACAATGTCCCTTTGATTGTGAACTTTGGTGGTCTCTTTCTCTTCATTATATTATAATATATAATATTCATCCGACATCATCCGGATCAGGTAGGACAAGAATCAACGGCTCGTGTTGTTTTGCTTCACCTTTCACGTCAGTCACCTTCTGTCAAAGTGTTTTGGCCCAGATTCTATTTCTGTAGTTCAACTGATATCTGAAGCCCCCCACCCTCCCGCCCCCTTCATCCTGTCCTGAAAGCCCCTCAATGTATTAAGGTCAATTGAAGTGACACAGAAAATACCTTCACTTCCGGGATGAATCTTGCTCCCAATAAAACACCCGTCCAATAACACTGAGTGCACTGCCTATCCTTTTACTGCCTGATCACTTTGTGAGCTATTAAATGAACAGCGCTACATTTCTCAAAATCCTCTCTTTGTCTTGCTGAAAGTCAGACATGAAGACGGGTATCAGGTAAAAGTGTCCAGTACAAAGACATGTTAGCCTAGCTTAGCAAATGACTGGAAGCAGGGGATAACTGCTGGCCTAGCGCCACTAAAAGGTTCAAATGTAACTTCTGTTATGTTAGCCACCATGCTATCACCAGCCCCTTCTGTAATCGGCTAATCACATTTAAAGTAAAAATAAATTCTTTAAAAAAAAAAAAGATTTGAATAGGGTCACGTCAAGTAATCGAGGGAGAAATGGATGTCCATACAATCTCATTAATAAGGACATGATCAGAGACTTCGCAAATCATGCTCTCCCTCATTTATGAATTTCCAACCGGTAAGGAATAGATTAATTCGACCAGTGAGTTAAAGCTAAAAACCTAAATAATTCATATTTTCCATTCATGATTTTCAGTGAGGGGAAAATTACTTAAATATCCAAACACCTAATAAATGGATCACGATGACATTTGGTCTGCCTCCGGATGAATTGTTATAACTTTACTCTATAATAACTAACTCTGCTTTACTTTCTGTAGAGCACATTAGCCATTGAGAGTGTAAACATTAAACATCAGAATGTTAGCATCATTATTGTATGCATGTTACGTTATGCAAACATATCATGTAGCTAAAAAACACTGATGAGTGTTGAAGGGTTTCAGGGTGTACTTACTCCTTAAATACTGTCTTACGTATATTTTTATAATTGTATTTTTTTATACTTGTGTTTATTAAAGTCCCTCTAAACTATTATATGACATCATGTTTTGCTGATATTTTCTTAAACCTGTTTAGTTTTGCAAACATTTTTGTCAAATATAAATTAATGAACTTTAAATTGACCTGACTTCACGTAAAATGTGATAAAAGGTAGATATTTAAAACATATTTGAAGATGTAGCCAGGTTAAAGTTTGCTCCAACTTCTAGTCTTTGTGCTAAGCTAGGCTAAACAGATCTTGGACTCTATGTAATGTTAGTGATATTTTATATAGGTGTGTTTGTTTTACTCACCAGCCTTCCCGATCTTCACAGCTAGTTTGGTCAGTTTGCCCTGCAGCACCGATTTCTCCTTCTTGGTCACGTTGACCTTCTTCACTGGTTTCACCTCCTCTTTCTCCTCCTTCTCCTCCGACTCGGTGGCCTCCTCGCTCTTCAGAGGCTGGATCTCCAGGGCGATACCGTCCTGGGTTTTGGCTGGGAGGAGGAGGAGGGGTGGGGGGGAAACGTTGGTGGTTTGGAGGTAAAAGGAGGAGGAGGAGAAAGGTGGGACCATGATGGAAAGTAAAAAGAGATGAAAGAGGTTTAAGAAAAGTTTTTGGACACGAAGAGGTGAAAAATGAGGGAAAGAGGGATGAGGAGGGATATGTTAAGGAGGCAGATGTTTTTTTAAATAAAGATGAGGTCAAAAATGGTAGCAGAGGAAAAGGGGAGGAATTTAGAACGGGTTGACAAAAAGTAAATGAATGAAATGAATAAATAATAATAAATTACAAAAAGGAGGATGGAGCAGAATTGGGGATGAAGGGCAGAGAAGCAGAGAAAACATTAAAGATTCAGTTGGAAGGAAAGCTGAAGACGACACACACAACATTCCCAGAAAATACTTTGACATCTTCATTAACGAGTTGACCCTTTTACTGAATGCAGAGAGTCACATATCATCTATTTATGATCACAACACATTCATGAAAAAGGTCCAAGTAGCTTTCAGAGACACGCAGCGGTTCATAATGAGGAGCAGCAGACAGAACAGAGAACAGCAGAAACAACAGAGAGGATTTAACCTGTCAATCACACACACACACACACACACACTTTCACATCAGAGCGCAGGGTTTGGAACGAGGCTCGGTTATGGAGTCTGGTTTTACGTCCTGCTCGCCAGCTTTGCTCCTCATTTGCATAAACAAACGGTGTATTTGCATTTCACTTCATCAGCTGGGATGCTGTTTGGACTGTAGTACTGTAACGTGGAGCTTTTTGATCTGTTTGATGTCTGCTCAAGGGCTTACACTGGATTCAGCTGCTCTCCCTCCACCCCCTGCTGTTTGTCATATTTCCATACCAAAGAAATGTGAGTTGGCGATGAATGTAAACAGAGCAGATGTGCACTCATCTGAGTTTTGATGTTCTGTTTGTCCTCATGAACAACTGAGCTGACAACACCGGGAGGATTTATTAGCTTTAAATATTGAAAGTGTTCAGATCCATCAGCTAACTGTATTTATCCCTGTTGGAGAGCCACTGCTGGCAACACTGTCAACATCACTTCTGGAACCAACAATACCAACAGATCATGGACATAAAGCAGATTTAGATTCCTGGATGACCAGTGAGACGTTTTTAAAAGAAGAAGAAATAGGTGTTTGATGCTTAATATCGAAAATCATTTTTTATAAAAAAGTGATGAGGGAAACGTCTGTTAGAGAACCTGTTCCTATTTTATTATCTCCTACTCCCTACAAATAATAAAAACATTTTTTTTTTATAATATTACAAAAATATAAAAAATGTAATAATAATAACATTAAAGGTGGGGTAGGTAAGTTTGAGAAACCGGCTCGAGATACACTTTTTGTTATATTCCATGGAATGCTCTTAACATCCCGATAGCAATGAATATCTTAAGTGATTTGACAAAAAATCCCAAAACATTTCATCTGTGGAAGCCGTAATACTGTAAAAAGCACGACCAATCATTTTAGCCGGCCCTGGTCATGTGCGCGTTCGTGTGTGTTGGAGGAGGTGCTCTGTAAGGAAGTGGCAGATTTTTTCCGTCTGTGTATTTTCAAATCCTAGCGCACTCGAGCTGGTTTCTCCAAAATTACCTACCCCACCTTTAAATGTATATAACAAAAATAATTATAATAAAACTGATTACAACAATTATTACTTATATTAATATTATTAATGTCTAGTCCTCTTATGTGCCATTTCTTCAGTGCGTTTTCCACCATCAATTGAAATAAAACATATAGTAATACAAACTGATTGATTGGACCTCATGCAGGAAGAAGTCGTTAAAATGTTTTTAGAGCACTTGTTACATTCAGGGATTTAGCCTGTTGTATGATTAATGTACAGATAAATAGATATTGGAGGGATATTATTGTGCTCTCTGGTTTATAGTGTGAAGGTGGGAATGCAGAGAGGCTTACCGAGGGGAAATCTATGCTGAGTTTTATGGCATTGGGCTGTACATGATATATTTTATGGTGAAGATGTTTTTATTATTCCTTTATTTTGAAGAAGTTATTAGCTATTACAGAATTGGAAATCAATACCAAGTGATCTTTTATTTACTCTTGGGTGACATTCTTATAAAAACAAAACGCAACAACTCGCAGTTACTTTCAATCAAGTTGAAGATGTTTTTGTTCAATACAATAATAAGTCATTTTACACAGCTCTGTAACTTTCATTCTTGTGTTTAACACCTACCTGTCTTTTTCATTTGAACTTGTTTTATTTTGGTGCGTTTCTTTTGGCCTTCGATTGATGTACTTTGGCTTTCCGGAATGTGGTATGTAAATAGACTTGTTTGAACAATTGTGCAAGAAAACCTGATGAAAAGGTTTTAGAATATGAACAATGTTCTTGAGTGGGGCTCCAAGTCTGTAAAAGACAAATTGGCTTTGATAACCAATATTTCCTCTTATGTTTTTTTTAAAAAGTGATATTTACCCAAAAACATTTTCACTGTCATTTTAACTGCCTCTCTCAGAAGTCCCCGCACTGTATTCTGCTAATAGGGAAGTCCTTTCATGGCAGCATGACCTCCACATGACATTTAAACACTCTGAATGTGGGGATGAGTCGGTGTCAAACCAGGAAGCGGTGGAGCTTTATGCACATGGTCCACTCTGAAGACAAGCCACAACATAGAATCAACTGACACAGCTTCACATGAACAGGACTGAGACCCACTGACCAACCACAGAACTGTAAACAGGCGCAGCACTGAACCATGGGACAGCGCACGGCGGGCAGAGGGGAGGAGGGTGTCTGACAACCAAAAGAAATCAATAAAAGAAAGCAAGTCAACCGAACAGAAGACAAAGGATCACCCCAGAGAGCGGAAAACGACAGCGATGCAGAACCACGACAGAGATTGACAGGAGGAGGAAGAGGAGGCTGCAGAGCTGTGGAGGCTGCAGGAGGCTTCAGCAAGACAGAAAAAATAACCGAAAGGAGGGAGAGAGTCAAACAGTGAATACGAGACAACATGGAGTCCTGAGCAACACCCTGCAAGGAGGCAACAGAGAAAGACATGAGAGGAGTCAAAGGCAAAAGAAAAGAAACTGAGGAACACAGAACAGACGACAGCCCACAGCCCACTAACACTGCAAGGGTGCAACTCCCACAAACACCGACAGCCTCGCTTCAGCCAAAACACATCCCGGCACCGTTGTCTTTTTCTGAGCAGTGTCAACACAAGTCAGTGGATACATGTGTGGAAATGTGCGATGGGAAAATGGTGTTGCTGTCGGCGAAACTCAACACCTCCTGCACAGATGTTTCACATTAAAAGCCTTCCAGCTGCTCAAAAGGACAAATCCCCCCCTATGTTGGTGGGCTTATAATGTGAAACATCTGCAGGAAGTTTGATGAATGCTTATTTAACAGTAATAGCTGGCAAGGTAGAGGTTATTGAGGGAATTAAAGCAGTATCAGAGTGGGGACTGTTGTCATACTGATGGGATTTATTTTAAAAGGTTTCGCTGTTGCCTGATCTGCTCCACTTTAATGTGTTATTGATCAATCACATTTGTACAATAAGAGTCATTTCACCACTCTGCCAGCACTGAAACTGTTTTCATTAAGTCATTTTTTTCTCAGTTGCTTCAATTTGTGTATAATTGCTGTTGGTTCACTACCTGTACAGATGTTTCAAAAGCCAGAATTTCCCCTAGATATTCAACAATTAGCCGATTTATCAATCAGCGCATCTACTATTATATTTCAGGTTTGTTACAGGATCTCATTCAAGGGGATTTGTTCTATTTGAGTTAAGTGATATTTTAGGTTGTTTCCAGATTTTTTTAGATGTGAAATTGGGCTTTAGGGAACTGAAATGGAAATATTATTCATCAATCACCTGTAGGAAGTTGCGTAACAGTGATCGGAAAAAAAACAGCAAAGTTACAGCTTTTGAAGGATTTAAATTTAAAGCAGCAGTCAGTGTTTTTTCGGACACTAAGGAGCAGAAGAAAGCTAATCATAGTCTGACAAATACACTATCCTGACATATTGTAAAACACAAAACACAGCCTCGTTCTACATCCAGTGAATCAAAGAAGCATCATCATCCCACTGGAGCTGTGTGAAAAGGCGTCCGTTGAAACCTAAACTAGGAGCGTAAAGAATGAGTTCAGTAGTGGTGCAGTGATGACGTATGTATCTAGGCAACCCAGAAATGAGCGTCGTAAGCGCTCCCTCGACAAACGGCATGGGATTTTTCCATTGGACTTTGGAATATTGCACATAATAAGATCTGTGGCTAACAAACGTTTATGTTACTTAGCAGGATAATCTCCACATATCAACACCACTATCATTTTTAAAGAGTAAATATCGGCAGAAGTAAAAAGCTTACGTGAGAGTATAAACTAACGACACCCCAGTCCCATGGCTATTTGTCACAAGCGTTAAGCTAAAGGCGCATAATGCGTGGTGATGTTTAGTAGTCTGATTTAGTCACTTGTTAGCAACCGCATTTGCTCATTTTTAGATTCATAGAACATAATTAATAGAAGCCTCACTATTTTACTGACATATGTTATGTTGTAAATTAAACTATTACATTTCCCTTTATAGGTTAAATCAAATAAATAAATAAAATATTAAATATTTTGAAAAGCCTCCGCTGTAAAAGGCATCCTCACAAAGCTGAAAGAAACTCAGTAAAGTTGAACTGTAAGAGGTATTTCATTCTCACAGGTAAGTACCACTATGAATATATGACGATCTCATTGAGTAGGATTCATAGCTGTACATTAAACTACTCAACAGTATATAAAGGAGATCAAATTAACGTTAAGTTACAAAGTTGTGTATCTGACTTGAGGCATGTATGCAGATTTTGATCTTAATGCGTTTTAGTGGAGGTCATTCTTGATTGCAGGTCTGAAAAATATTAAATATATTTGTGCAAAAGTGCCAGAAGTGTGTGTGTGTGGTGTGTCTGTATGTGTGTGTGTTTGTGTGTACATCAAGTAGCATTCTGGTCGCAGCAGATGCTCAAACCATGGGAGGTCGGGAGGAAGGGAGCTGTGTGAGTGTGTGTGTGGAGTGTATTGGGGTGTGTGCGAGTGTGTGTGTGTATATGTGTGTGTGTGTGTGTGCGGAGACAGCTTGCAGAGGAAGTCGGACATGTGTTGGATCACACGGGACATTGAGGACGGTTGGCTGTTTCGAGTTGGGAAGTTGGCACAAAGACGTCATCAACACAAACACACAGCCATAAACCCTGAAACATTAAATATGGAGGGAAGCACCGAGGGAGCGCTTGATTTCAACACTGCGTCACCCAAGAAGGACACATCAGAGGTCAAACTAACATGTTAGACCTCTGGTAGAGTTTATATTTGTGTCTCAATTCTTAGAGCGGGATAGGACATTTTAGTTTTTGCAAGCACATACCGTTATTTTTTAGCAATATATATATGTATATAAAAGAACAATTTCTCTGTGAACAAAAGGACTTTCAATTAGTATGTGTTGATTTAATGTAAGCTAATAACTCACACTCATTTGCTCTTTCTTAATTTAACTTAAAACGTATCAAAACAAGATAAGTTATTTATTTATTTTTACCTTTATTCAATCTTGTTCAGACGTGTATTTATATAACACATATTTTTTATTTTCAGTATAGTTATCTTGTTAGGTCGTCAGCTATCTTCTGCCAGATTAGCAGTAGGTAAATAAACTAGTTTTCAACCAGGTACATCCAAGAAAGCCAGCACCAAGAAGGTTTGGAATCTAAGCTTGGAAAAAACACTTATGATTAATGAATCCACAAAAACATGTTTTTAAAAATAAATGTAGCGCACACAAGTTTTTTTAAATGGAAAACATCAAATTAGCCAAGCCTATATAGTTAGCTAGCTTAATTAGCTATTTGGCTCATTCTTTAAAAAAAAATATATATATATTATAATATAATATTTTCTTTATTCTTTGAGCCAATGGTAACAATAGTCCATATATTAAATGAGCACAACACTTTTTTTTCTGGATCATATCTCTATGAAATAAATATAATGTGATTGCAAGAACTCTTTCTTGTGCTTAAAATGTCCAGACACACTCTCAAAAATGAAGGCACAAATACAACTCTATACTGTATTAACCCCACTATCACAGATCACCATGACAACTGTAGACGCTGTGATTGGCTGTCAAAGACTGAAGGTTGAGAGTTGCACCCTTAAACAGGTAAAGCAAGGCGAGAGAACGTCCCCCTTTATATAGCAGAGAGAGAGAGAGAGAGAGAGAGAGAGAGAGACATGGACTGGACACTCCCCTCCTGCCGCTGGGTGGAGGGGAGTGAGGAGGGGGTGAGTAACAGGGAGGATGGAGGGACAGAGAGGGACAGATGGATGAATGGAGGGGTTACCTTTGTTGCGATTTTCAGAGGGTCCTTGTTTTTTACCTGTTCGGACAGAGAGAGAGGGCGGAATGCTGATAAAATGGCTCAAAAGAAAAATAAGATCAAAACAAACTGAGGGAGAACACAAAATTCAAACTGATAGAAACCCACATGTGTGTGTGTGTCGTGTGTGTGTTGTGGGCAGGAATGGACCAATCAGAGGAGAGAGACGCACCGCTTCCTGCTGCGGAGAACCAACAGTGTTTGACAAAAGAGCTAATAAAACCAAGACCTCTGTTATCAAATTAAATACGAATTTGATTCAGTTGAATTTTAAACAATAATGTATTCAACAAATATACATTATCGGTATGACCAACTTTAATAATAGTCAGTATAATGTTCTGTTGTGATATTTTAATGGAGACATGTCAGTGGAAGAATAATCCTCTTAGCACTTTTAGTATGAACACCACTTAGTCACTTACAGACTTTATGATGCATAATGGTTGTGTACTGTGTGTGAACTGTGTAGTGCTGTGTATGGTGAGTGCTGTCTTATATGTCGGTGCCAAAGACACATTTCACACTTACACTTATTATCAGTCGCTTTGGATAAAAGCGTCAACTAAATGAAATGTGATTTCCATTTTATGCAAATGTGTTGGACACTAAAGTGATCTGAATTTGAATGATTTCCCACAATGTACATCGGTGTTGCTACATTGTTGAGGGTACATGCTCCTTTTGGTCATTTGTCATTCACCTACATAACTAATGTATACACTACTGTTTTACTGTATGGCATTATTTTTATTTTAAGACAATTATCGTTTGTAGGATACTTATACTTTCAACAATCATCTGGTTTCTTGAATGCAATTGATCAACTCAATTCTTTTTGGGACCATACATACCCTCGGGAGATGAGTTAAACATCATTTATCATGTATCTTTTTTGACAACATCACTGATTTCAGTGTGTCTGGTTCAAAGTTGTCCCTTTTTATCTCTTATTTAATTTCCCGATGTGTCGATACTGCATGTCTGAAAATCTGAGCTGTTTTCTTTTTAATGATGTACATTTCATGTATGTGTTATTTCATTACTGGTAAAATAAATCAAGACAAGTCAATGCAAAAAAAAATTGCTCTCAATTGGATGGTGATGTGAGGAAGAGGTTGTGGTTTCTAAATAATTATTAAGGACAAACCTACAAGTTCTTTCAAACAATGTGTGCACTGGTTGTGTTGAGTTTGTTTTGAGTGATGGATGTGGCTTACTTCCTTCACTGCAGGTATATAAACTGTGATATTATGGCTGCACAAGTCCTTGTGGATCTTATCATCTATTATTGATTTTTGTCATGTTTTGATAAGATGTGTAAAAGAAGCAGGTCAGGTGTGTGTTTCCTCCCTTAGGGACATTCACTTCCTGTTGCCCTAATATGGAGCTATTTGCTTTTATGGTGAAAGGAGTTGTTAGCAAGGTCAAAGCCAACACACACACACACACACACACACACACACACACACACACACACACACACACACACACACACACACACACACACACACACACACACACACACACACACACACACACACACACACACACACACACACACACACACACACACACACACACACACACACACACACACACACACACACACACACTGAAACAGCTCTTTGATATTCAGCCCGTGGTGTGTGATTGATGACAAGAGCTAAACTGCCGCAAGTGTGTGATTGTGTGTCTATGTTTGCACATACTGGAGGCTCTTACTCTAAGATGTGACTTTACTTGTATGCATGAATGTGTGTGTATATGTGTGTGTTTTTTAACGTCTATTTGTGTGTGTTCAGGGTTGATGCAGCCATGTGTGACGGTAAAGTCTGCTGTGTGTCGGCTGGTACCTCAAGAGACATACAACAGCTTTATGTGTGTGCATTCTTGTACTCCTATCTTTGTGATTACGGATTAAAAAAGTCAGTTCAGAGAAGTTTTTAGCCATTCTTCACTTTTCCAAGGGGCTTTTTGAAGGTTTCAGGTCTGGTTTAGGATTATAATTATAATAAGATTAGATATTAAGGTTACAGTTAGGGGCTCAGAAATGTATTATGAAAATCAGGGTCCTCTCAAGTGAGGGAGAACAGACGTGTGTGTGTGTGATTCTGATGAAAATGCTCTTTTCTTCTGCTCATTTTCAGTTTAATTTCAGTTGTCTGAAATCGGTCTTCTGGTTCTCCTCATTAGGAATTCATTAAAGGTTGTTTATATTTAAATGAATGACTGGAGGCCGAAATGTAAACCTGAGCGTCTCTCTCCGCTGAGCTTGTACATTCAGTCAGTTCACAATGAATGCCTGACAAACTCAAACTTTAGCCAATAAAACAAATGATCAGACAAAAAACAAACTAAAGAAAAAAAGACATGAGTAAAAGGGGGTTAGCATGATCACAAGCAAATCAAAAGCAATAGAGACCGACTGCAGAAGCCTGTTGGTTTACATCAACCTGCTCTGTGATAGTACAAGGATCATCTGCACTTTTTGAAGGGTTCCACTTCAAAAAGCAACTGTATGTAAACAGAGAAGGTACGTTTCACGTTTTTTAACCAGCATCACGTCCCTGTCGAATCAATACCTCAGTATTTCGGCCATAAACTACCATGAATAAATGAGACCACGATGTGCAGTAGTGTTTATCAGACTACCGACACAGCATTTTGTATTAAGGTCTGTGTGGAAACATATTTTTTATTTGTCTGTCTATGCTTTAAAAGTATAAACTCTTTATATCAGACAGAAGATAACACGTCTCCATTATCTACCAATTTGTTGATATTACAAAATGGCTGGCATATTTTACAAGCTTTTATTACTCTACCTAAAATGTGTAGTTTGATTCTAGTAGGACTTTCTTATGGTTTTCTTATTTAAAAAACCAGATGGAAACATGTCAAAGACTCCTAAATAAGCATTATATGGTCACATACATCGTTTTCAGATTACTCCTCATGTCATTTAGCATATTTTTCCAATTTCCAATTTTGGCTTTCAGGTATAGCCTTGATCACAACAGTAGGTAATGAGCCAGTTAGCCAGGCATGCTAAAGATATCAGCTGACTGCTAATTGATTGCACTGCCCTATAAACCATTCAGATGCAGAGTATATATCTCATTACAACGCCATGTACACAGGTTCAACGGGTGCAGAAATCCAAACAATGACATGCCTGCTGTGCCTTGTTTAAGTTGCTCAGCTACGATTGGACAATATATGTTAAGGGTTCCAGGTGTTTAGTCAACCGTCAATTAAGCTTTCTGTTGTAAACATCTTATGTGAATTGTGTGTAGTAAGCAGATAAGATCACTACATATGAACTCACCCATGGTCTCATTTATTCACTGATGATGCTTTTGTGATCAGATGTAATGTTAAAATATTATAGTTAGACCCTTCAAACAGCTCTGCTGGGATCAGCTCAGACTGGATGACCTCTACCTGCAGACGGCTAGTACGACAGGAGCAACTTCAAATCAACACCAGCTGATAAAAGCGTGCAAATATTTCCAATCTGCACTGTTCAAACAGTAAAGTAGAAATATTCAGAAGCTGACACGATGGTAGTTGTCTTTCTTTCTTTCCTCCCAACACTTCACACACTTTGTGTCTCGTATGACCTTAAGCACTTCAACATGAGTTGTGTTTTTTGTGTGCGACAGGCTTTGTCTCATGTCTTACTTTTCTTGACCTTCTTCACTTCTTCGTTGTCGCCGGCGCACAGCAGAGTAAAGATGATGCCAGTTTGAGAGTTGAGGCCGACAGCCGACACCACCATCCTGCCTGATCCCTCCATTACATGGGTCCCTGAGGAGACAATCAAAAAGCTGGGGTCACAACTGGAACTTTTCTTTGCAACCGTCTCTGCGTAATATCTGTAATCTGTGTTATACTTTGCTAATATAACAAACTCAGGGTCGCCACAGATCAATCTTAGGGCCAGTACTTCTTAATGTGATGCATGTATGAGGATGCTGATGATACACAGCTATATGTGGATGATTCTTCTGATGACACAGAATTAATTGTTGCTCCTTTTAGATATAAATGTTTATCTGTGAATGTTACAAACATTTGACAGTTCAACAAGGATGATCAAGAGGTGTTTTGCTTTTCCTGAGGCTCAGATTTGTTTTGGATTTCATACTTTTGACGTGTGATAAACAGTTTTGACAGTTTGAAGATGTTACTGACCAGACATATTACACAGTCAATTATACTCTAGGTCAGCAACTCCTTGATAAAAAAAAATTAACTCAACGTCTGAGTGTCCCATATTTTAACACCAAAAATGGTCCATAAATTGGACATAGAGGCTACATGATGGAGACGCAAACATCTATCTAAATGCCCAAGATAAGCATTCATGTACATATGTTGAGAGTTTGTCCTCTTTCCCTTAGCCTATTAGATATCAAATAACCACAAAATCTGAGTTTACTGGACCTACTCTTGCCCTTTTGTTTGTGCACCGAGACAATAAGTGAATTTGCACTTAAATTAAATGTAATAACAGTGTTAACAGCTATAAGTGATTTGATATGTTTTTTTTGGCCTCATAAATATTGGTCCCGGAAATTGTTTTACTTTTCATATTTGATATTTTTCCTTTTAGCAGTTGCCTGTACTCTGTATTGCATTAACTTGTATTAAGGTGCTCAAAAAACATTAACGGCAACAGCTGGTGCAGTGTGAAATGGATCAAATGCATTTTGATTGATGATGAGTGATATCCGTTTCCATTGGATGAGTTTATTTAAAAGTTGTAGTATCAGTAGACACTTAAAGAAGAATCATCAGTGTGAGCAGGCACTCACCGGACAGCAGCATGGGGTCCTTCTCCATAGATTTCCGGACATGATCGGACTCTCCGGTGAGAGAGCTCTCGTCAATCTTCAAGTCGTTGCCTTGGATGAGGATCCCGTCAGCAGGCAGCAGGTCTCCTGCAGGCACAGAGATAAGCAGTTCAATTTCATTCATTTCTTAAAATCAGCTGCAGGGGAAACACATTTTTGTGACTCAAGGCTTAAAGACATTTTGAATCCGTCTTAAATTTGGAAGGCAGATAGGCAGCTTTGATTTATTTTCTGCCTGGTGTTTGCTGTCTCGTACCGTATTTGATCTGAGCGATGTCTCCCACCACGATCTCGGACACAGGGATCTGGATGACCTGGCCCTTGCGGATGACGGTGAATTTTTGTTCCTGCTCGATGCGACTCTGCAAACCGCGGAACTGCTTCTCCTTGGACCAATCGTTGAAAGCCGTCACAAGGACCACAATAGCGACGGAGAACAAGATGGCGGCGCCCTCGATCCAGCCAGCCTGAGCCTCGCCCTCGTCCTCCACGCCGCCCGCAACCTGGCCACATGCTGCGAGACGAAGAGGAAGCGTTGAATACAAATAGCTTTCACAAAAAACATTTTGATAATCAAAAAATAAAGAAAATGCTTCAATATTTTGTATTCAATCCTAGGCTAATTGTAACCGGTCTTATAAACATTATTTGTTTTTTATCTTTTTATTTACATCTGTGTTGCTGTAGCTAGGATTGTGTCAATACTGATGTCATAATTATATTGTGAATAGGAGAATAGATCAATAAAATAAATGTGAATAGATATCAAATGGAATCTAAAACCTGAAAATAAGACAAAAAAGAATGATTGAATTTGACAAATAACTCCAAAAAATCCCAAAATAGATACAAAAATGTAAGTAAATGAATATATAAAATTGCTGTAACTTACAAAGGGATTGTTAAAAAAAAGTGCAGAATAAAATAAAATAAAAACACTCATAAATAAATAGCCATCATGTGCTTTAATTGTAGAATTAAATATAGATTATAAAACCAATGGCGATGACTGTACCGACCTTCGCTGTCGCCCCCTGGTGGATGGTAGAAGGACAGGCTGAGCGAGATTATGGCGGCGATCTCCAGAATAATGAGCGTGACGTCCTGCAGAGCCTCCCACACCAGCGCCAGGAACGACTTGGCCTTCTTGGGAGGGATGAAGTTCTTCCCGAACGAAGTGTGACGTTTCTCCAAATCAACGGGGTTACCAGAGAGACCTGCAGACACAAAGACAACACATTCATGATCACATCAATGATACATTTCCTCTTTTAAATATTATGATTTGTATGGGTTATGTTTATTATTGTGTGCATTCGTGGTTGTTGAGGTTCTTTCAACATTATTGTATGATTTTATTATATATAGGATTTGTGGGAAATGGCAAATCCAGTTTCATTTATTTATTAATAATACAAAATAACTGTAGTTTGTATTTGCTGAGCTACGAGGAAAGCAAACAGTATATAGGTCATATCATGACAAAAAAACTTTAAAAAAAGATAGGATGATAAATAAAAAATGTTTTAAATTCAAAGAAATATAGATATGTATGTGAATATAGAAATATTTAGAGATAAACGTTGGATTCATTAAGCATTAAGTATGTGTTATACAGTCAATCTCCCCTTCAAGTACTTGTAATGTAGTTTTCAATAAAGCTTTTAGTTGTACCATTGCATCCAGTGAGAACCTCCCATCCTATGTCTTTATTGGAGGCGTGATAACCTCTCTGCACACTGTAGCTGTGCGCCTCCACGCAGTGAAGGCAGAAGATGCACAGAAGTTATGAAAAGATTATTACAGGTTTCTATAAGCAGAACTTTTGCAACATGACCTACTTCTGTTGCCATGAAAGACTGCAGTGTTTCCATATACAGTGTTTATTTGGGCAGAACACCAACACAGATTTGTTCCACCCACAGAAATGACGTATTTCTGTATTCATTATATTTCCTCCTACTTCCATGGAGATTCAGTAAAAAAGTAAATACTGAGAAATGATGCTTTCAGGTGTTTACACAAAAAAACACCTCTGTCTGTTGTATCAAGCAGTGATTCTCCTTTTTTAAACTTGTGAATTTTGATAATTTTAGGAGGCTTGACAAGCTGAAACGATCCAGTAATTCACAAGAAAAAGGTAGTGAAATATCAGAAAAAAAGATTGAACGATTCATTTGATTGAAATTTAAATATGGAAGTGTAGTAACCGAATTGCATTTAACAATATTTGTTAACGGCATAATACGATTCTAAATTAAGTATTTAGGTATAGCTGAGATGCTCTGGCCTACAAATAATATTCTGAAGACTTAAAGGAGAGGTGTCATGCTTTTCCGGTTATTACCCGTCCCCTTGTGTGTTATGAAGGTTTTTATGCATGTAAACAGTGTGCAGAGTCAAAACCCTCAAAGTACACCCTATAGCGAATAAAACTCTAACACAGAAAATACCTCCCCAAAACGCCTCGTTGGAGATACGTCATTGTCCATTTGATTCTTCCGGGTACGGCATGATGTCAACCCGTACCTGGAACGAAATGGACCAATCCGTGGAGCCGTTACGTTACGTCCGCAGAGCCGTTACGTTAAGCCCCCGCTGATTGGTCCCAATTGACCAATCCACGGACTTCCTCACACACACATCTGTGTGCAGGGAGCAGGCAGCTCAGCTGATTTCTCCTCCCTGGCTGCAGGCTGATAACAGACAGTTGGGATCGCGGCGAAATTCTCTCTGCAGACCCATTCTCACAGCGTTTATCAACCTTTTTCTTACTCAATATCAAGCCACACTTATTGTTTTTACTTCGGCTGTGAGTTTGTGTGTGCTCAGGATGAGTTTGGCTGTGTTTCGCTATGTATCCTAAACAAGGAAACAACACCTCCACGGAGCTCAGCGCGATTCACAACGTTCCAACCAATCAGAGCACACTGTGCTCACAGGGAGGGTGGGGGCTGGAGCTTTGGGAGCTACAGCGAGCCGTTAAAGGCAGAGAGTGAAATTCAGTGAATACACGTAGTTTACAGAGATGCTGTATGAGAAACCAATGTGAGTTTGGAAAAATGCACAGTATAAATCTATTTTAGAAGACCTCAACAATGGAATTATGATCAGTGGAAATGGCCATGACACCTCTCCTTTAAGAAATTATTATTATTTTTGTTGCAAAAATAAATAAAAAAACATGATCATTTTGATTTTCACTGAAGATGAGAATAATGATGCACAAATTCTTATTACCTCCAATATCGTAAATCATACCCAATCAAACTAATCAGAAATAGATTTATTTTCCAAAATTGTCTAGCCCTAACCAGAGGTACGTTTTCTGTAGGTTCCCCTTCCTGTCAATCATCCTGCGACCCCTCCGGGTTTATCAAGTGGCCCCTTGTGTGGGCCTCGACCCCCAGGCTGAGAACCACTGTTGTGTGTCGTCAGTGGTGGCGATGCATTCATGGCAGCCTGAACTGCCTCCACCCCCCCCGCCCTGCTGGACACACAATCTGCTGCTCCACCAGAGCCAACGTCACACCATGGTCTGAACAAATAACAAAGAACATGTACTGTAGAAACTTCTCTAAATATCACAGGACTTTCTCCACTGATTGATAATACAGGACAACTAAAACATCCGTCTGATGTTTCTCTTCCTGCCCCTCTGCAGAAAGCAACGCTCTGCTCCCTGAAGACCAAACAGTATCTGTGAGTTATTGAATCCAGAGCCATGACTGTCATTTTCCAGCGGTGACTCATATCTAACCGCTCGTTACTGTGCATACAAAGAAGATAAAAACAAAGAGATCTCACAGTCGCCCCGGATGTTACAAAGGGAGCAGAGCAGGAGGGCTTTGTCTGGGGAACTTCTAAGTTTAGTTATATAATTGACAAATCTGATCTTAGAACACCATTTGTAGTTCATTTATTATCAGAATCTTAATCAGGTTTATTGCCAAGTACTTGTGCAGCGTGTATTTATCTTGTGTTTATCTGTTTATCACTCTCTACTAGAAGAGGATATGCTCAGCACCAAAGCACCTCATTAACTTCAGTAAAGAGTTTATTTGCAGCAACTCTTCGTATGTAGTCGGAATTAACCGGTTGACCTGATGCGCTGCTTTTCCTTTTTTGAATAACTGTGACTTCCCCTGCACAGCTGTGTGGGCCACAACATGGCTGCCGTGGATTCTTGGAGGAATCGGGGAGATGTGCAGTGGAACGTGATGTGAATGTCGACAGACCGCACTGCCAGGATTTCTCTGTAAGTCAGCGTGAACATGTTCTTGCCTTCATGAGTTTGAATAATAATGGCCTCCAATTCCTTCTCTCGGTGATTCTCTCCAGACAGACTGAAGGAAGACTTCCTCTATTACCCTTTATTCCTTTGATGCATTATTCAGGAGAAATAATCAGATACCAGCTTTAAGCCATTTTAAGTATTATGCAACACAGGTACTATTTTCCTCATCTAAATTAGATGGCTTCAAGGCCATAATTATTAAGCTTAGAACTATATTCTCATGCATAATTACAGCTATTTAAGTCCAATAATGACACTTGTTGTACAGCAACATTACACTCTATATATTTGCTTTAAAGGGGGCCTATAATGTCTTGGAACCTATATAACACACTACAGGAAAGGGGAAACCCCTTAAAGCATAATAGTGCCCCTTTTCTAAAATGATTGTATGTGTGGTATGCTGCCCCAACCCAGAGATGCTACATTTGTCCCTGTTGTGGATCAACACTTTTGCACATTTGTGGCAAATAACAATTCCAGTTTGTTTTCATGTTTGTCAATCAAATCAGGGAAATGTTCTGCAAATATCAGACTCTCCTTGCTTCTGCTTTGTACTTGAATCACCTGCTTTAATGTTCTTTATTAACCACATTGGTGTAATCCATCCATCGTGTAAGCACCAGTTCCTGGGCCAACAGTTCATTTGATGACTGCTCGTTCCCAAATGGAGTAAAGTTAAAAGCACCTGCTCCTGCAAGTTCGTCCCAATGAATTTTGGATTATGGTTTTATCAAATAAGGCGAGATAAAAGGAGGTGAAGCGATGGAATTAAATGAGACGAGGTCATTTTTGGTGACATGAGATGAAAGGAGTTAAAAGCTACAGTAACACGATACCATAATACGACAGACTTTGAGTGTACAGTATGAATACATAGTGAATATATATATATAAATGATATGCATGTCTATCTGAGCGACAGTAGAGCTTCTCTGTGGTTCGGAGCAACAGCAGAAACATGACAAGGTGTACAAACAGATTTTAAAAATACACCGCTTGTCAAAGTCATCATCATCCATCTTTCATCACTCTGTGGTTCAGTTCAAAGTTTGGTTTCATCATTTTAGAGCCAGTGATTGATGCTGAAAGCTGCTGTCACACTAAAATAAAGAAGAAGTGACCCTCAGAGCACCTTTACGGGCTGTTTGATCGATATGAGTCTGCTGTTTTCTGGTTTAGTGCTGCGAAGGCGGCGGCGGGTTTCATCTGCTGAGCGTCCCCGTGGAGATGCAGATTAAAGCTCCGAGATGATGTTCCAGAAACGGCAGAGCACACTCGCCTGTCACAGATGTTTATGAGCTTCAGCAACAGCACAAATGGACTTCTTTGGTCCAAAACGAGCTCTCTTCCAATTCACAGCTTTATCAGCCGACGTGCAGCTTCAATCCTTTCCCATACAGCACCATTCACTTCCATTCATTCTCCCTCTGCAGCAGGGATTAATGTCCAGCCTCATTGTTCTATACGTTTGAAGCCCACTACAAAGTAGGGCTATGTAATATGGAGGGACTTATATATCATACATTTTTTGGACAGGATACATCGATATGTTGACGAAATTGTAGCATGACCATTTCATGCTTTCACAAAGAGCAATAGGGAAATAACGGAACAGTCTGCTCAATTCATAAAATGTCATTACACTTACAATATACACATTAAATGATGTCTAGGTATAACATATCAATATATTATCCAGCCCTACAACTAATACAGAGGACATGTTTTGCTTTCTCTCTCCTCGATGTTTTCAGGACTGCTTTACGTTTATCATCTCTGCAGTTCATCCACCATTTATATCTTTGCCTTCATCAATTATGTGCATCGCTTAATTTGTTAAGTCCCTCTCCGAGTGTTCTCCCTGTCTCCTGGCGTGGAAACCTCTCAGTAACCCTAACCACAGATATAAGCTGACCA